GTAAGATCGTCGGACAGCAGCATCATTCCACATGTCAGTCCAACCACTGAGCACGCAGTGGCAACTTCATCATTTGTCAAACTGGTTGTTTTTCCAAGCAGCAGACAGTCCGGATCATTGTGCCACCACCGATGGCCATACGAAGCTCGCGTCATGCTGTTCCGAATCATTGCTCGTAGACTAGGAAGAGTGCCATTGTCCCACCAAGGCAATGGGAATGCTGGATACCATGTAGGGCCAGTGTCAGCAGATATCCTCATTCCATCCACGTAACCAATCCCAACACCAACAGGACAACCGCAACCAATCAAGAAGACGTTTGGACCAGCCGCCTCCCGAATCGTCTGAAGTGCCAAATGCATGGCTTGTGCTCGTGTCATGGACAAATCATATTTACCATTTCCTTCCAGACACGCCGCATACAAAAAGTCAATCTTTAGCGCCTCGAACCCCCAATCCTTCACCGCTCGTCGAATGCACTTGGCCACATATTCTCTGACATGAGGGTTGGTAGCATCCAAACCGTAAAAGAATTTACCGCAATTTGAGGAATTTGCCGGTCGGCCCTGATCGTTGCGAATGATCCAGTCCGGGTGTTGCTTTGCAATCATTGAATGCTTATCGCAGGCAAAGGGAGCCAACCAGATACCTGGGCGCATACCATTTCGTTCAATATCCTGTGACACAAACCTCATATCCGTAAACTTTTTTGGTTTGAAGGAATCCCAATCTCCCCAAGCAGTCATATAGCCATCATCGACGACAGCCACATTGGTTGGTACATCGTCCTGTATTGTAGCAAGCTTGGCAAAATTCTCTCGTAGGTTCTCTTCGGAAATATTCTCGTAGTAGTGATACCAACTGCACCATCCAGTCAGCATTGGACCATTCTGCAATGGCCGAGCCTCGTTGAAGGCGGCCGCAGCATGCAAATAGTGGACCAAGGGTTCCTCGTCATAGTGATGCGGCGATACCAATTGCGCATAGGCCCAATCGGTAGTGGTAATGGGTGCGACCAGCTGGGCCCTGTGGGTGGCGTGCATTTCCAGTTGTGTCAGACTGGGATCCAAATTCAGCGTCCCTAATTGTTCGTGTTGGGACAACCAACCACACACCAATGCCGGTCCACCAAACTCATCCAAAATATTTCCTTTGCTCGTAGTAATTCCCACAAAATAATCCGATTGGTACATTCGTTTGTCTTGCAGTTCATGGACGGATGGAAGCTTGCTCATATCCGTTCTTGGAGGAAAGACAATAGTGGGCGTCTCGCAGGGCATTCCTCCAAAGTTGAATGCTTTGCTAAACATGTCTGGCATGGCTGGCTGTGGCTGCTTCTTTCCTTTTACTACAGAACCTGTATAGGACCAAGATTGATATCCTTGAATGTACACATGGGTCGGGTTCTCCTTCATATCGACTGTTCCATCAAAGACAGTGAGAGTATCGATACAAACATCTGTGGATTGAAATCTTGGAACATCTACTTTCCATAACAACGGCGGATCGCATGTAGGGTCATCATTGGTCAATGGAATGGCAAAGGTGACGACAATATGGTTGATATGGCTGGGCGACGAATCGGGTGCTTCGGTAAACCGAGACCATTGTGGTTGTTGTTCTTGTTGATCGGATCGTTGCTGGTTTCCCATTCGTTGTCGGTGAAGGCCCAAACTAGATTGCATCTCACGGGGAGGACTCATCCGCTCTTGCGAGGCATCATCATTATCATGATCAAACAAGGGTTTCAAAAAAACTTGCATGGCTTGACATTTTCCCACCCCTCGAATGGTGATTTCTCGTTTTTCCGTCTTGACCACTTGTTCTTGTGTGTAAATTTCCCAGACCTGTTCTTCTTCCATTTCACCAGCATAACTTTTACATTGGCAACACGAAGCAAGACTACTAGAGTTGGTGTATTCTGGAATGGCTTGCCATGCAGGTCGATACGAGAGTTTCAATAGAATATTCGATTGTAGATTCATTCCTCGAGGTCCGCTGTATTGCCAACAGCATTGTTGTCCTTGTGGAGATGATTTATCATCAGACGACAAACCAAGCAGTGATTTCTTTTCACGAGCATCAGGATTGGAAGTGTCGCTATCTCCATCAGCATCAGTTGGTGCTGTTGAAGAACTGGAAGATGCCGCTGTGGTTGTGCGTCGACCAGAAGCTGGAGTTTGTGTCGTGACAATGCTGTATTTTTCTGCATCGTAGTTCGCCGTTGTTGAAGGAATGTTTAACTTGAATTCCCATCTTTCTTCTTCTACTGGTTTAGGCATGATCCGAATGCAGGCTCTCTCTCTCTCGCTCTTGATCTGATGTATGTATATTATATATTAGCAAGAAAAATGAATAAGAATGTGAATGTGAGACGTTATTGTCACGTTTCGTCGCATTGTGTGAAAAGTATTAGATTTTTGGAACTCGGCAGCAAGTCTGTCCTTCGGCGGGCGGTCGTTCCGAAAGGAAACTAGATCAGAACCATGCTGACGCAAGATGGGAACACCTTTGTCGTCTTACGTCAGCAATGATTCTCCACGATCTTGCTCACTATTCACGAAAAATTCGCATCGTTCTCAGATCTTGTTCAGACGATTCTCAAGCTTCTCAATTTTGGTTTGTTTCGACGGAGGAGGATACCTCCCTCCTTCATATTTTTTTTGAAAAAAAGATACCTTGACGTGATAGCAAACATCATTCCTTCACTCGCTCCACAGCCACTGAAAACACCAAAAAGAACATTATGAAAACCACCTCTACTCAACTTCTTTTTACCAGTCTTTCCATGGCGGCATCTCTTGCCACTGTGGAATCCTTTCACGTTCCACAACAGCTTGTTGCATCATCCGCCTCCTCTCGTCCATCGTCTGCATTGCGAGCAGAAATCTCCTCTTCGTCTCCTGATGATGGCGGCTTTGACCTGAGGAAGATGAGCAAGGAGCTCATGCAACAAAAGAACACTAAGCACCAGGAGGACCAACAGCAACAAACAAACAACAACAATAATGCAGGTGCCAATGATATCGCTAGTCGATACATGAGCTTTGCTACTGGCTCACCCAAGCCTTTTGTTACTTCGTCGACCTGGAAAAAGGAAGACACAACCACCAAACAAGAAGAACAATCGATTGACGCTCCGTCCACAGGATACTACGAAGACTATTCTGTGCCCACGCCAAACACCGATGAATGGTTCACAACCTTGGCGGAGCTGGAAGATCGAATGGAACAAACCAGACGAAGCCTGGACGAGTACACAATGAAGCACACCCAAGCTTGGGGCGCGGAATCATCGGTTCACTCACCAACAAGCATGTACGATTTCGAAGGTTGCTGGCAGTAACAACAAAAAGTACAGAAAGAAAGTGAGGAGTGGTCCCGCCGACATCCTAGATCTTGCTACAGGAAGGGACAAGACCAATATTGAAATGCTATGTTTTAACAATGATATAACAGAATTTTTAAGAAAGCCATCCAAGCCAAACCCATCGTTTGCTCTAGATAAACATTTCTCTTTCTCCAACCACCATTTTGGACTTTCTCTATCCATGCACCGAAACTGAATTAAAGGCGAAAATGCTTTTTTTACTGCAATAAGTACCGGTACTGTAGTAATTGGCGCATTCTTCTTTCTCGTCATCTCAACGTCACTCGACGTCATCCGGAACGGCAAAGCCATCCAAACCACCACACACAACTTCCAGCGATCCATGCTTCTGAACAACAACCGCCACCTACTATATGTACCGGTACGCGCTACAGTACGTCATTCCTTCGCTGATGCGAACTTTGCGCGCAATCGCTCGGATGGGTCGACTCACTGGTTGGCCGCGAAACCCAGAGGAGGAGACCAATAGTATAGTACGGTATCCAAAAATGTGGGAGGAGGTACTTGCCATCCAGCCTACAACGTTGCCAACACACCAGAATTGAACACTCTATAGAACACAGAAGAAAAAAAAAGCCGGTAATATATCAATATAGCAAGCATACTGCACAACAAACTTCTAAAAAAAATCTGAAAATTACAAAATTTTTGGCCGTTTTACTGCATTCCAAACATACCCTTCACGATACGCGTCACACTCCACAAACAACCTTCCATGAATCGCACATCTGCCATCATGTTGGTTTGTTGACGTTGTTTTCGTGTCTTTTTCGCTCTTTGGTTGGCAAGCCTAATTTCATTCTCGGTGAAATTGTACCAATGCATCAAAACTTTGTGTCGATAATAACGACTCAACACCAATTGACGGATAGGACGAGTTGTTCGTCCTGCATGATAAAGATTAATATCAATTGGAGGATGCTCGTTGTAGCACCAATCAAGTTGAATGGGTGCACCATTCGATACGGCAGGGTTGTCGCTTAACGTTTGTCCATACATTCGAACCTGAACCGAATGGAAGCGTACTTCCTGTGACTCGGAGCGCTTACTAGATGATGATTCTCCATCTAAAATATTAACATCCGATGAGCTTCCCAACGACTTTTCAATTTCCAATAGATTTGGTGGCTGAAGTCGATGCCATGGTCCCTGCGCATCGACGAATTGAGTTGGGGATTCTCCCTTCGGCCGTTTCAGGATGCTCTGCTTGCAGGAAAACATTTCGGAAGAGTCGTCATATTTGTCGGACTTTGTACTAGTGGTACCGTCGTTAGTTTCTTCTGGCCGTTCTTGTTCGTGCAGCGCCTTGGTTGGACATGCTGATTTCCCAATCGACTTGTCAGGCTCTCCCAGTTGCTTGTCGGGATCTTGCGACTCGGAATCGAGCTGATTCTTCCGCATTTCTTTATCATGCTGTAGCTGGATTTCCACCTTTTGCATCAGAATTTCCTCTGGTAGGAGAGGTCTAGGACCTGACCAGTCTGAGCCGGAAACACTTGCTGGTGATGCCATGGAGAGTGAGTGCACTACCGGTATGACAGTCAGAGTGTACCGTACCGGTATGAGCGTATGTTTGGGACTCTTGCAATACTGGTACTTGGTACCTGGTACTGTACCGATAAGTAGTCTAGCGCACATTCCCACCTGCAAGTTCCCAATTTTGTTTCAGAAGCAAGTATTTTTGTTAATAGAAGATCGAAAGAAACACGAGCGAGAGCCATTTCTTAAATGTTGGAGGTCTCATAACACTTCTTGCATTAAATGTTTCCGGAGAAGAACAAAATGAAAAACGTCCAGTGTCATTCGATAGGTATTTGGGGTATTGAAGTTGGAAATCTGAACAAGAGCAATAACATCACATATGACCTTTGCCCGTTCTGCCATATAATTTCGTAACTGGTGTACGTGAACCCGCGTTTCCGTTTCGCCTTGTTCCGCGCGGGGCAGTTCACTATACGGTTTCTGCATATGTATCATCGAGGACCTACCAGTATCAGCCAATCCAAAGCGAAACAGCTGAAGACGAGTTCTGTACTGATATATAAAACTATTAAAAGTACTACTCTGTACTCGTCATGTATTGAACAAAGGCTCTTCACAATCACGGCTTTAGGGTCGCAGGTTCGGCTGAGCCGAGAATGGAGCTGGAATCGACTACCGGTATGCAGATGAAGAATAGCATCCAATCGACACGGTCTGCATGAATGGAAAAGACTTATCACAGGTTGTTCGAAAAGCTTGAAAAGATGAATAATCAAAATTGATGTTATAGTATGTATTCTTCTCAGAGAATAACGAACGCTCCTCTTTTGAGAAGAACGATCATTGGTGAGGAGAACGATTGGTGAGGTATATACTGTATCTTCATGTGTTGCACTATGAATGATGTTTCTTTGATCGATACCGAACGAGAGCCGAAGCCTGCATTCGTTGCACTCTTCGAAACGAAGAAGATATTCATCAAGAGGACAATTTCAAATTGATGTATGATTTTAGATTGATTGAGATTCTGCCTCCCCGTAACGTGACTGACTGAACTGCCGAGTCCCTAGCAGACAGAGTGAGCAAAAAGTTGTCGATCCCAAACACGCAGCTCCATCATCCATCTACTCAGTGTTGTCTCAGCCTCCCAGCTATATCCCATTATAGAGTACCAGCCAACGCCTGCACCATGTCTAGTAGCCGCTGGCAGAGGAGGAGCCATAGGTTAGGCCGTTAAGTCCTCTCGAATCACGCGCACGCCGAACGGCCGTCTAGTTTATATTATCTTCTACCTTGGCACTCTACTGGTTCGCCCCTGATGGTAGCGTACTTATTCAGCATTAAATGTCCATTTGATTGGAATGACATCGTCACATTACTGTGGCCGACAAATACTCATTCGCATCGCATTTAAGCATAATGTGAAGGTACACTCGGCGCGGTCTTGATGGATGGAAGGTTCGAAATCCATGAAAATGGTGTATAGATCTTTCTAATTATTTTTCAGAGCAAGTGGAAATCAACTACAGTTTGCACTCGTTGCACTCTTCGTAGTGGAAGTATTTTGTCAATACATTGTTGTAGAGAAAGCATCCAACGCAGAAGCCGGCGTTTCCTTCCAACCAAGTCGCCAAGAAACAAGTGAACGCAACCGCTGTTACTGATGGCTTGTACGCAGCTCCCAACTCCTTGCGGTATTGAACCAAGATGAAACAAGTCGTGGCCAACATCAATCCAATGGCCCAGGCAAACCGCTTTGGATTGGCAGGCTTCCACAATGGCGTGGGCTGCAAGATGGTAGACATGATGGTCCCGATCCATCCCAGTGGAGCAAACGGAGTCAGTCCAAAGATCAACGACGAGGTAAACTCCCACGCCACCAAGGGAAAGATGATATTCACCAACTCGGGATCCTCAATGAAGAAGACATTCATCAATGCCACCACAGTGACAATATTCAGTAGACCGGCTCGGGTACGAACGGCGTGTTCGTCCATGTACATGTCTCCAGGGTGGACCTCAGACACATTGCGGTGTCCCAATTGCCACCAGTTACCGTGCTTGCCTGAGATCCAGATACGTTCCCAAGCGGTCACAGGGGCAGCTTGACGACTTTCGATCGAGCCCCAAGGAAAGTTCTTGCATTGGGGATCGACTTCGAGGATCTCGCGAGCGTTGCTATAGATTTTTGGTTTCTTCGACTCAAAGTCCTTGTTGGCGAGGATCATCAATGCAGGAATGGTCTTGAGGCCGAATAGGTCTCTCATGGCGGCCGTCTTGGTAGTATCATATTCCATGACATCGAGACCGCGGACCTTGGCACAGCTCTGATCGAAGTTGTCTTGATCACGGTCATTACTGACAAAGATGGTCTTGCACTTCTTTCCTTCCAAGAACTGCTTCGCAGCAACGACGGAAGGAGCGAACTTTTTACAGAAGGGACAGTAGTTGGCTCCAAAGAAGAGAGCAATGTATTCATATCCTTCAAAGAATTCTTGTGTAGGCTGTGACTCTGTGACGGTGTAGGGGGCGTCTTCTTGGGGTGCTTCAGGGTTTTCGACATCCTTGGTCATCTTGGATTGATCGACTGTAGAGTTTAGGAGGACATGTTGACCAAAAAGCTCGAGACGCCAGTCATCTCCAATGTTGTTTGTGTTGTTCTTTTCTGCAGACATGATGAAAGCGGGATACTTTTTCGTGTTGTTCTGAGATTTGTGTGAAGTTTGAGTGTTTGACTTTATTTCAGATTGAGATTTGTGAGTCCATTGCGAATGTAGAGTAAATTATCGTTGGCGAAGATGACTCTCGGGGAAAGGCCTTCGTTTCGACTTTCAGTAGTTTTACCACGGCTTTTGGTCAAAGATCGGAGTTCTCATCCTGCTCAAGGCTTTTTTAAAGATGCGAGAATATGGTGGCGAAACTCCGAACGAACCCTGATTTTGATAGCGAGGGAAGTTCGAAGGAATTCCCAACTACTGGTACGTCCGAACAACACCAATTCGATAAAACAGTACCGGTACAAAAGGTCTGCTGCTATGGAACTCGGTGGCTCATGAACGGCAAATAGTGGCTCAGATTTCCAGAAAAAGAAAGACCTTCGCTATCTAATCAACTTTCATGCATGATGGAAAATGGTTTAAAAAGTGAACCAATCCAAGCATCCTATTTGATACAGGAGCAAAGAAAGATGACATAATCATTATTTGTGTGGTTTCAAGGTCGAGGATTGTGGATAGGAGTTATGTATATTTTAGGATTTTGTACTAAATAGTTGTAGAGTATCTTACAGGTATCGTATTCCGTAACAAATCGACTACAGTTTGCATTCGTTGCACTCTTCGTAGTGGAAGTATTTTGTCAATACATTGTTGTAGAGAAAGCATCCAACGCAGAAGCCGGCGTTTCCTTCCAACCAAGTCGCCAAGAAACAAGTGAACGCAACCGCTGTTACTGATGGCTTGTACGCAGCTCCCAACTCCTTGCGGTATTGAACCAAGATGAAACAAGTCGTGGCCAACATCAATCCAATGGCCCAGGCAAACCGCTTTGGATTGGCAGGCTTCCACAATGGCGTGGGCTGCAAGATGGTAGACATGATGGTCCCGATCCATCCCAGTGGAGCAAACGGAGTCAGTCCAAAGATCAACGACGAGGTAAACTCCCACGCCACCAAGGGAAAGATGATATTCACCAACTCGGGATCCTCAATGAAGAAGACATTCATCAATGCCACCACAGTGACAATATTCAGTAGACCGGCTCGGGTACGAACGGCGTGTTCGTCCATGTACATGTCTCCAGGGTGGACCTCAGACACATTGCGGTGTCCCAATTGCCACCAGTTACCGTGCTTGCCTGAGATCCAGATACGTTCCCAAGCGGTCACAGGGGCAGCTTGACGACTTTCGATCGAGCCCCAAGGAAAGTTCTTGCATTGGGGATCGACTTCGAGGATCTCGCGAGCGTTGCTATAGATTTTTGGTTTCTTCGACTCAAAGTCCTTGTTGGCGAGGATCATCAATGCAGGAATGGTCTTGAGGCCGAATAGGTCTCTCATGGCGGCCGTCTTGGTAGTATCATATTCCATGACATCGAGACCGCGGACCTTGGCACAGCTCTGATCGAAGTTGTCTTGATCACGGTCATTACTGACAAAGATGGTCTTGCACTTCTTTCCTTCCAAGAACTGCTTCGCAGCAACGACGGAAGGAGCGAACTTTTTACAGAAGGGACAGTAGTTGGCTCCAAAGAAGAGAGCAATGTATTCATATCCTTCAAAGAATTCTTGTGTAGGCTGTGACTCTGTGACGGTGTAGGGGGCGTCTTCTTGGGGTGCTTCAGGGTTTTCGACATCCTTGGTCATCTTGGATTGGTCGACTGTAGAGTTTAGGAGGACATGTTGACCGAAAAGCTCGAGACGCCAGTCATCGCCAATGTTGTTTGTGTTGTTCTTTTCTGCAGACATGATGAAAGCGGGATTTTTTTTGGTTTTGTTCTGAGATTTGATTGTTTACGTTTGACTTTATTTCAGATTGAGATTTGTGAGCATATTCCGAATGCAAAGTAAATTATCGTTGGCGAAGATGACTCTCGGGGAAAGGCCTTCGGTTGGATATATCATGTTGTAGTGCGGTACTCTTACCAGTACTGGTACATACTGGTAGCTGGTAGTTTCACCACGGCTTTTGGTCAAAGATCGGAGTTCTCATCCTCTGCTCAAGGCTTTTTACATGCAAGAATATGGTGGCGAAACTCCGGATAAACACCGAATTTGATCGCGAGGGAAATTCGAAGGAATCCCGTCGACTTCGAAACAACGCCAATTCGATTCTTCCTCCAAATTGTGTAGCTACAAATTCTGCTCGGATGGAACTAAGAATTTGTTGTGTGAACGGTGGCTCATGAACTGCGTGTATCGGCTCAGACTTGTAGTTCAAACAGACAACAAGAAAAGAAGTTCACTCATCGTCCAATCAGTCACATTCTTAGCAAATGAATGAATCCTTCTGATCGGAGTGAGCCAATCCAAATCTGCAAAAATCGTCCCTTGACACCACAAGAGTCTATATGACATCGTCGCTTGTGAGTTTAGGGTAGACGACTGCAGTTGGTAGTTAGTTTCTATAGATGCATGTCTCTACAATATGATTTATATTAGTTATACAGAAGATTGATAGTATACTGTAGCTGTCGGATTTTGGAGAAAATCAACTACAGTTTGCATTCGTTGCACTCTTCGTAGTGGAAGTATTTTGTCAATACATTGTTGTAGAGAAAGCATCCAACGCAGAAGCCGGCGTTTCCTTCCAACCAAGTCGCCAAGAAACAAGTGAACGCAACCGCTGTTACTGATGGCTTGTACGCAGCTCCCAACTCCTTGCGGTATTGAACCAAGATGAAACAAGTCGTGGCCAACATCAATCCAATGGCCCAGGCAAACCGCTTTGGATTGGCAGGCTTCCACAATGGCGTGGGCTGCAAGATGGTAGACATGATGGTCCCGATCCATCCCAGTGGAGCAAACGGAGTCAGTCCAAAGATCAACGACGAGGTAAACTCCCACGCCACCAAGGGAAAGATGATATTCACCAACTCGGGATCCTCAATGAAGAAGACATTCATCAATGCCACCACAGTGACAATATTCAGTAGACCGGCTCGGGTACGAACGGCGTGTTCGTCCATGTACATGTCTCCAGGGTGGACCTCAGACACATTGCGGTGTCCCAATTGCCACCAGTTACCGTGCTTGCCTGAGATCCAGATACGTTCCCAAGCGGTCACAGGGGCAGCTTGACGACTTTCGATCGAGCCCCAAGGAAAGTTCTTGCATTGGGGATCGACTTCGAGGATCTCGCGAGCGTTGCTATAGATTTTTGGTTTCTTCGACTCAAAGTCCTTGTTGGCGAGGATCATCAATGCAGGAATGGTCTTGAGGCCGAATAGGTCTCTCATGGCGGCCGTCTTGGTAGTATCATATTCCATGACATCGAGACCGCGGACCTTGGCACAGCTCTGATCGAAGTTGTCTTGATCACGGTCATTACTGACAAAGATGGTCTTGCACTTCTTTCCTTCCAAGAACTGCTTCGCAGCAACGACGGAAGGAGCGAACTTTTTACAGAAGGGACAGTAGTTGGCTCCAAAGAAGAGAGCAATGTATTCATATCCTTCAAAGAATTCTTGTGTAGGCTGTGACTCTGTGACGGTGTAGGGGGCGTCTTCTTGGGGTGCTTCAGGGTTTTCGACATCCTTGGTCATCTTGGATTGGTCGACCATGGAGTTTAGGAGGATGTTTTCACCAAAGAGCTCGAGACGCCAGTCGTCGGGAATATCACCGACAACGTCGTTGGTAATGTTTTTGTCGACAGTCATGATTATGAATGTATTTTCTGTTTGGTATGTTTGAAGTTTGAGTGTTTGACTTTATTTCAGATTGAGATTTGTGAGCAGACTTTGAATGTGAATGGGGAAATGGAAGACGACAAAAGAATGGCCTTCAATGTTGACAACCGTATCATTTGGAATGGGAAGTAGCCCTTCGGCATTTCTGATAAAAGTTGTGATGAGACGGTGTTCGGGTTGGAAGCAAGAGGCTTTTTTCCCAAATAGCCGAGACGCAAATAAGAAGTTGTTCTGCAGATTTTTAAGACTAGTACTTGCTTAGTGCTTCCATTTTCGAACCGGTCGATTTTAAACCACGTGGAAGCAGACAGACAGACGACCATCAAACAGGGTTTCGTTTCACCAAAAAGCAACCGCAAGCAAGCATCAATCGAAGACAAAAAAGGTTGAAAACATCATCAACCTCATTGCCTCTACAACGAACAAGACGCTTCCTAAGAGATCAACCAGGACTACTGTAACAAGAAACTTTAGAAGAAAGTCACGCTTCCACTTCCAACAAGTAAACACAGTACCCTAAGTTCCAATAGACTATCATAAACCAAAAATACAATACAACAACAACAATGATTAAGGATATGATTGACAAGCAAGTCCTGGAGCTTAAAAAGCTCTGGGCTAACAAACGCCAATTGCTATTTCAACTTTTGAATTTGGCAATGATTGTATTTTCGGCATTGATGATCTGGAAGGGTCTCATGTTTTTGACAAAGGTACGGATGGAGGTATCACTTGATTCATCATCATCATTGCTGCTGCTGTTGCGGCACGAAGGGTTTTTTTTTCCGTTGCTGGATTTCTCGTCTAGTTCAACGCAAGAATGCACACCCCTATGACCAATTCGATGAACACTTGTTGAAATTGAATGGGAACTTACACATTTTTCTTTCTCCTTGTGTTCTCTATTTCAATGCTCTGTTTGAAACCATTACTGCGCTCATTTCCAAAACAACAGAGTGAATCCCCAGTCGTTGTGGTATTGTCAGGATCCATGGAACCTGCCTTTCAAAGAGGTGATATTTTGTTCTTGAACAATGCGGTGGAACAAGTAGGAGTCGGTGACGTTGTCGTCTTCAAAATCAAGGATCGAGATATTCCCATTGTCCATCGCATCCTCAAGGTTCATGAAGATGAAAATGGCAAGGTCGAACTCTTGACCAAGGGAGACAATAATCGAGTAGATGATAGAGGCTTGTATGCTCCTGGACAACTGTGGCTGGAGCGAGAGGATATTTTGGGCAAGGCCGTAGGTACCCTGCGGTATGTGGGTATGGTGACCATTGCCTTGAACGATTATCCCGTATTGAAATACGTCCTAGTGGGGATGATGGGACTCTTTGTTTTGACTAGTAAAGAGGGCTAAAGTAAAAACATACAAATTTATACATTTGAAGAGCCTTCGATCTCTGGGAATGGTGACTGTGAAAAAAAAGGCCAGTGTTTTGAAGACAAAGCGGCTATTCCAATACCAATTGAGGTATTTTCTAATGCCCCATCACCATGGATCCGTCATTACGATGATACGCTTGTTCTGGTGGCAAAATGTTGTAGAACAACAGGCGATACAATCCCAATCGCAAGAGCATTTTCGCTCCAGTTCCCAATCGTGCGGGTGCTTTCCACGTGTTGTTGGTCGTCCGAGGAAACGGGACGATTCCGGCCGTTGAGGTTGCAGAAGGCAAAGTCGACATTTCCCAAAATGTCTGAACCAGAGATGGAGTGGTTTGATTCCCAGATGATGTTTCAAATGGGAGTAGCAAGTGGGCGAGGGCCGAAGAGTTGTGAAGAATCGAATGTATGTCGGCTGGAGACAGGTATTGAACACATCGATGGGTCAAGCGCAACCAAGACACTGTGAGCCAATCGATGCTTTTGTGAGTATCGTCCAAGGTTGTATTTGCATTGGAACCATACGAAACTGTAGACGATGCATTGGTCGAATACGCCGGTGGAGCCTTCAAGTTGCCGTTGGTGGTGGGTTTCTTGGTAGTGGTAGTAGTTGTGGGGGGCAATACCAATCGATCGTGGTAGGCTTCCAAGAGCAGTTTGATCAGTATATTCAGAATGACCCCATTCAGCTGCGAGTTGCCAAATTGCAATAAGTTGTAATATACTTGAAAAGTGGCGCGGCAAGGAGTCGCCATGAGGCTCCGGCGAATCCAGTTGGAGCATTCTTGTTCGTTGCTGGACGAGGAGCCTTTTCCATTTTGAGGGCGATTGTCGTCTACGTGCTCCTCTTGTTCTGCTGCCACCGCCTCTGTCTTTGCCCTTTCTTCTTCTTCTTCTTCTTCTTCTTCTTGTAACCAGGTTTGCAGTTGCGATGCCAGGTGGCTGCAGGTACCGTTCAAAATATGGATTATGGAGTCTTGTCCGGGTGATGACGAATGGTGCAGCGCATTGGAGCTCATATTCAGTGCTGCTTGAAAAATGCGATCCAAGTGTTGACGGTGTGACAAGAGTAGCAACGAGGATCGATTCGAAGGAGAATTATGAACGAACAAGCGATCCAACAAGCCTTTTCGTTGTCCTTCATTGGCAATGCGAGCCTTTTTCTGAGCATCCATCACTTGTTGAAACTGACCAGCCTTTTTTCGTTGCTTGACTACGACCATGGCCAAAGCAGTCTTCAGCATGCATTCTTCCTCATGTGTCAGCGTAGAGATCGGTGCCTGTGAAAAAACTGAAGTCATGGAAGGGCGTTTCTCGAGTGAGGCGGAAGATGAAGGCATTCTAGTTGCCGGTTTCATTTTTGTTCTGATTTTTCATCGATTTTGATATTATTGTCATTGATTGAGATTGATTCAAACGTGATTGATTGATTGATTCATTCATTCGTGTTTTTCTTCAGGAGATGAAAAAGTCTTTCTTTAGCAATCAAATCTCAGGGCCATATGTACCGGTATGCATGCGGTATGATACCGGTAGCAATTTCAAGTTTTATATACAGCATACTATGTATGCGGTACAGTAGTGTGGCACCTTCTTGAGCTTCGACTCTTGCGGGGCCTCGCTCGTGCAAAACCACACCTGGTGCAACCAGCCACAACACGCAGCCAGGCACTACGACGAGTACCATCTACTCCTTGCGTAACGAAGATGGAAGTATTGTACAGTACCTGGTAGTCGTAGCATGCTAGTATTTCTTTTTGATCAATCGATTGAGTGAGTTTTCAAAATCTTGTTATAATTGCTTATGCTTTCACATGTACGTGTACTATTCAAGCAATGTACGATACCGCAGACAGCCAGTAGGCTAGGAAACTGTATTCAAAATTTCGATAGCTGCTAGCAAGCACATTAGTCTTCCAAGTCACTCTCGTCATCACTGCTGAAATCGAACAAACAATCTTGGTTTTTTCGCAGGAGTTCTGACAGGTGGTCGCTGTTGTCTGTAAGAAGTTCAATAGTTCTTCGTTCGGAGAGTGATGAGCCTTTCCTTCGCAGGGGGCCTCTTCGTCCACTTACTCTCCGTGATGGAGAGTTGACGATATCAAGAGCCTTATCAATCGATTCGCTCCGAGATTTCTTATGAGAATGAGAAAGAATGTTGCTCATTTGATTTTCTTCTGCAGTTTTTGCAGGAAGCTTCGACAAGAACAACTTCCTCTTCAGGTCATTGATTTTCTTCATTTCATCGGTTCTCTTCGTATAAGTTGCACTGGCCTTCGTGTTGCCTTGAGCCCTGATCATGTTGTGTGTGTTAGGCATCGTGGTAGTGTGTTCGTTGATTTCACAAAAGCAGTTGTTGGTTCGAGGAAAGGAATGATTGAACACGAAATGTTGGGCACCGCACAGTTTCTGATCGTGTGATATAGTTGACGGCAAAATTCCCGCCTCCGGATTGAATGATTGATTCGGTGCCACCTGAAAAGTTCCGCCATATTTAAAAGCGACACAAAAGACTAACGTTGAAGTTGAACCTACCGAATAACATCTCCCGCTCCGTACTTTTTGTCAACCGCATGGTCCAAATTGAAAATAATAATTAAAAAAGGACTTTTTGTCTACCGCATGGTCCAAATTGAAAATAGTATAATGTCGTGTTAATACTGTAAATAGTACTGTACCAGCATCATTGCTCTTCTCTTGGTATCCGTCTCTTGTATCCTTCTCTTGTATCCCTCTCTTGTATCAAAGTCCCCATTATCTTTGTCCTTGCGGCCATCGGCCTTGGGCTTCTTGCTTTGTTTGGGGTCAGTTGGAGGCTGCTTCCGCTTGCTCCCAAATTTTTGGATTTTTGCGGTGTAGTCCTTAATAATCTCCCTCTTGTCCTTCGCCTGGCTAGCCGAAAGGGACATGATCTGTTGTTTCTGTGAGGGAAGGTGCCAGAGACCCTCTGAGACAAGATTGTTGTACTTGGTCTCTCCTTCCTTCATGAGGTCTTCGTGCGGTATTTCGGGCATGTTGTTTTTGATTGACATAAAGGCCCTGAATTCGTCTTGATCAACTTGATTGTATCCTTGCGCGAGGGCGTTGTAGGTCATGACTTCGTTTAAGCTAGAGGAGCCTCCCATAGCTCGGATCTTGGCCTTAAGTTCGTTGAAACGTTGATTAAAAAGGATGATGCTGTTGCCATGCTCGATCGGGGACAAAGTTTGTAGGTCGTTAATTAGGAATTGTATCGTCCTCCGATTGGATGGAGAGGTTAGATTGCAGATGATCTTGAAAATCGTGGGTCCGTCGCAACGGCCCCTAATCTGAACATAATCGTCTTCACGTTGTTCAAGACGCTGCTTGAATTCGTTGGATACAGAATCCAGGAGACACATCCCTAGGGCGTAACTCGCCTGGCGGAAATAGGTGTTCGTCCTCCATCGGCTTGTTGCAGCGGCTTGCGTTGCGACAAGGGAAATCTCGCCGTATTTTGACAGCAAATTTTTGGTCATTGCATTTTCGGTAACGTCAAAAACAGGAAGGCAGTGCATGAGGGTACAGCGGCCTTGTATATCCTTGATCAATCGGGACAGGTCTGTGCCATCGAACTTGTTTGAAAGTGGTTGCTTTGCCTGGTTGTAGAGGCCTAGCTCGAGTTTGTTCTTGAGGTCCAGTGGTATTATGCCACGGGGATAGGCATCAAGGCCGTCTTCGTTCGGTGGAGGCAAAGGGTTTTGCACTGGTCCTGGTTGTTGCACCACTGGTGGTGCCATCGCTGCCGGCTGTTGCTGCGCCGCATGAGGTTGTTGCTGCGGTGGCATTGCGTTCCCTTGAGGTGGTGGCGGTAGTGGGTTTGCATTTAACTGCGGTAGTGCTGCCATGAGCGCTTGCATCATTTGTTGCTGACCTTGGATTAATTGCATGATCAGATGGTTGTTGGCGCCGGCGCCAGGGTTATTTTGCTGTTGTTGTGGCTGCTGTGGAGCTGGAACTTGTTGTGGCGGTTGCTGTGGAGCTGCGGCGTTGTTATTGCCTTCACCAGCTACAACGTTGTTGTTTCCTGCGCCAGCGTCGTCTCCTCCTTGCTGCGCCAGATCCATGTTGATGTCTGGGGCTGCTTCGGCTTGAGCGTCTTCTTGGTTGTCTGCTATTTCGCCTTGTCGTCGGAGTTCTGCTATTCCCTCAGCAAATCTCAAAGGTCGCCTTCTATTGGTGCGCAGGGGATTACGACGAGGAGGGTCCACTACCATGTAGTTTCAATTCGATTCTATTAGACGCAGAGGGAGCGTGTGTGAATCTAATGGATTTCAGGTAGGATCGATATGATTATGTAGTTAAGTTATATAGAGAGATATAGTTGATGAGTTGTGATGTCAAGAGATCCCTTCTCTTGACGTCCTTTCTTGAGGTCATTATTCATTCTCCCATCTTCCGTTAGGTCGGCGTACAGACTCTGGGTCCGAATATTCCAACACTCCCTCTTGGGAAAGGAAGTAATGACCAAAATGTTACCAACCGATAAGGAGGTAGCGGAGAGCAACGAAGGTGGCGGCGTCGAGTGGTTTTGTTCCGATATCGGCCAATTGATCTTTTGTGTCGATTTTCTGAATGGAAACTTCCCCTTTGCGGACCGACTTCTTGAAGTGATGATACTTGATGTTAATGTGTTTGGTGCGTGGGCGAAGTTTGTCGGCTGTCGCGAGTTCGATTGCTCCATTATTGTCCTCGAAAGCTTTACATTTGAAAATCGGTTTGGTATAGTTGAAAGATTTGATTCTCTTTGCGAGTTCTTTGAAAAATCGGATTAAAACGAGCACAGTTCGCAGTGCCTGGGAAAGACAGATGTATTCGGCCTCCGTGGTGCTTAAAGCGATCTCTGTCTGCATCTTGGAATGTGAATAGATCAAGCAATTGTTAAACATGATATGGTAAGCTGTTCGCGATTTTGCAGTTGCTGGGTCTTCGGCGCTGTGTTTGTTGAAGCCGCCTGCAAAATCTGCGTCCGCATATACTTCAAAGCCCTTTCCAGATTTTGGCTTCATGAACATACCCTTGTCGCGTGTGTCGCGAAGGTAACAGCAGATTCTCATTACGGCATCCTCGTGGGATCTCTTGGGAAAGGCCATGAATCGTCCGACTTGAGAGACCGCAAAGATCAATTCAGGTCGCGTCGATCTTGCCAGCCAATTTAGCATTCCAATTACAGAACGGTAGTCCCAATGAAGTTGACGCGTTAGCCCACCTTCATCTTTGTGTAAAACTTTGTTTGCTGGTGTTCTGACTTCTCGTCGTGCTCCGCGGTCCAGGTCGATGTTTACCGTTTCAAGAATGCGTTGGATCAAGGCGGGTTGGGTCAATTCTCGACCTTCGCTCGTCTTGGTCATTTTGATTCCGAGATATTCGTTCAAATCGCCTTCGTCCGTTAATTTGTACTTTTGTCCGAGCCGTTTGATGACGTCATTAATTTCGCGTCCGTTTGGACCCATCAAAATTGCATCGTCCACATAAACGATAAAAATTGTCTCGCCCTTATAGAAGACTGCTTTGTCGACCTTCGATTGTTTGAAACCGATGTCCTTCAGCCCCTTTCGGAGAAAATCGAACCATACCTTGCCCGCCTGCTTGGCCCCGTAAAGGTTCTTCTTTAATAAAAGAACGTTTTGTTCGTTGTACTCTGACCCGTCCACATAGCATTCTCGCGGAATTTCCATGTACATTGGGCATTCAACTTCTGCTTGTGGGAATGCAAGGACAAAGTCGATCTGTCGCGTTGTCCAACCATTCATTATAGCGAGTGTTAGTAGGCTTCGAATCGTTTCCCATGCAACAACTGGTGAATACGTATCCCAGTAATTCACGCCTTTTTCTTGTGAACTCCCATCAATGCATAGTCGTGCCTTCCATTTGTAAATTTCGCCAGTTCCAACACGGCGTTTTCGTTTCATTGACCAAACACCTCGCATCGCTTTGTGCCCTTGTGGCATAGATTTTCTTGGAACTATCTCCCAATGACCTCCTTTCGTATGATCTTCAATTTCTTTGACCATTGCGGTGTGGAAGTGAATCCAATCTCTTTCTTTCTTCGCTTGGTGCAGGTACATCGTATCCTCATCTGCTAACGTCGCTGCAAAGGCCATTGGATTGGCAGTGATGCATTCGTCCACTAGTTCTTCTGCATGGACTTCCCTTGCAATTACTGTCCTGTAAGAACGCAAAGTTAGTTCAAATTCAAGACGCTTTTGGTCGAGGGTACTTGCTGTGTTTTCTTCCCCGTCGTCTCTCCCTCGCTTGCGCTTTTGAGAGAGAGATTCGTGGGTCTTCAGTGCTTGGATTGTACGGGTTCCCGCATTGTCCTCCCTCTGAAGAGCTGGATGTTTGAAAGTCCCGCTATCAAGTAACGGTGTTGTTGGACCTTCGGCCTTTCGGGAGAGTCGTGGCAGCAAATTTGGGCTGGTGTCCCGTTGACTCTCCCTCATTTCTCGACCTTGGGTTTGACCTTCAGCCTTTCGGGAGGATGGAGGCAGTGAATGTGTGCTGGTGGTCCTCCGGTTCTCCCTCATTTCTCGACTTTGGGTCTGGTGGGAGAGTTGAGGCAGCAAGCTGCTGGTGTCCCTATAACTCTCCCTCTGAGGCAGCAAGTCTTTGCCGTTGTCCCTCGGATTCTCCCTCTGAGGCAGTAAACTGGTGTCCCTCGGGGATGGCTTTCCGTTCTCCCTCTGAGGCAGCACGTTTCTGCTGGTGTCCCTCGGGTTCCCCGTTCCGCCAGTTTGAGCTAGTCTATCTTGACCGTTACGCTCAGTTGTCGAGAGCTGTCGGCTTTGTGCTTCCAGGTGTCCTCTCTCATCAATGGTCTCTGATGTTGGAGTCGAGAGCTCGTGGCGCTTTGCTTGGAGGTGTCCTCTCTCGTCAATCGGCTCTGACGTTGGAGTTTCGGTACCACTTGACTCTGGCACCTGAGTGTGAGATATTTTTCTTCTTTTGTTTGCTTTGGGCTTCTTTGTGGATCTCTTCTCATGAATTCGAGTCAATCCCTGCCACCGTCCAATATTCTTCATTGCTGGGATGTCTGTCGTCTCGAAACGTTCGTCGTGCGTCACATGAAATTGAGGTGAGGTCAATCCTGTGTCAGGGTTTAGAACAAGCGATACCGAATTTGCGTGTTCGCGTGAGAGGCCAAGGAAAATGCCAATTCGCGCCCTATCACACCATTTGTTTTCCAAGGAGCTTCCACTCTGTAGTTTTGGATCCAGATTGTAGATGGGACAACCAAAAGTATGGAAGACGTTGACATTTGGTTTGTCATCAGAATCAACAAATTTTTGAAGGGCTGTCCTGTGTTCTCCCTCTCGAAGAGTGGAATTGCGGATTTGGGAAGCGTAAACCATAGCGAAACCCCAAAGATGCGCTGTGATGGCCGCTGGCCAGTTGTGCTTTGCAAGGAGAAGCATGGAGCGAGCGGAGTCACGAAGGTCACGGATACGCTTCTCGGCTTTGCCATTTTGATGATGAGCATTGACTCCGCAGAAGGTGTGTGTTTGGTGTGCAGCTTTGCATGCTGCCTTGAAGGAATTATCAGCAAAAACTCCGTTGTCGCAGTGATAGTGTTGGATGCGCACACCGTAACTGTTTGCATGGCGTTCAAACGCAAGTTTGGCTTCAAGAACTGAGTTGGCATCGTTGTATTGGTGAAGGTGCACGTAGTCCAGGTCACTGTAGTGATCAACAAAGACTGTAGCATAATGAAATCGTGCTATAGTGGGGTGTCCGCGAAGTTGGGGCATCAGACCTGGGACGCTAGTGGAGCTCATGGTGTCGACCGACACGACCGATCCAGGCTTGGTTGCTTGACGTGGAGTCTTGCGACTGCCGTCTTTCTTCTTGGAGCGATGTCGCCATTGTCGTCGGGTTGCCTTTCCAAATTGACAACCGGGGCAGAATGGGAATTCTTTGATAGTTGCAAGCCGACGATCGATGAGGCCTTCTTTGGCACTGGCTTTGAGGTGCTTGAAAGGCATGTGTCCGAGGCGGTAGTGCCATCGGAGCAAAAGAGTCTTTTTATCCGTCTCATTTAGCGATGGTAGAGTTGCTTCTGGCGCTGTATCATCCCATTCACCAGTGAGGAGGGATTCAAAATTGAAATCTTCAAGGACTGCTGGTGGCTCTTCAAAGTTATCGACAAAGGTCTTGGCAAGGCTTGGTGCTGTAGTCCCGTGCAGGTCGAAAGGATCTTTTTCCTTGGGGTCGCAATCTTGACATTGTCGTTCTGATGGAGGATTGGGGTGTGTTCCGTCAGGGAGGTGCAGATCTTGGAAGGTCAAAGCTGTTGGTCGGATCCGTGCTTCTTGTGCCGTAATGTGCTGAGATTTGAGGTGTGAAGAGAAGGAAGAGTAGCCGGGCTTTGTCATCAGGAGCGGTAGGTTTGTTTCGCTGTCAAATGGGACAGTTCGGACGCAATTGTTCTCAAAACGTAGTTCCACGGTGTCACCACACACATTGAAGTTTCGGATTGGTTCCATTCCCTTTCTTTTAGTTGGACCTTGCTTTGACCATTGGCGTGGACTCAGTAAAGTCAGCTTCAGTCGTGGAGCATAGTAGGCATCGTGTATCAGGTGCTGATGCGTGTGCCCATTGTCGTCCGCGAAAACCAATTGCAGAGTGCCTTTTGCAACGATTGGGATGGAGCCAGAGGCTCCTTCCAATTTCATACCCTTCACTGGAGTCAATTTCCCAACGAAAAGGTGCCTTATGCCACCGACTGTTGAGGATGTGCAGCTGTCGACCCCAACTGGAATTGAGTCGTGTTCGAAAGTCGCGTTCATGGCTCTGCAGATGTGGGCTTGATAGCTTTTAAGATGAAGTTCTGTTTTTATATCTTCCACTGAACTCAAGTCGATTATCTGCTTGCCTTGCCGTCAATCGAAACCTTCGTCCTCCAAAGCAAAATATCCATCGTCCGTCCTGCTTTCGTTGTCCGACCCGTCGTCTGAGTCGCTTGTGGTAGTGATCTCGGCCGTGAGTGCTGAGATTCGCGTCTCAAGGGCTTTCACTTTCAATCTCTTCTGTTCTTTGGTGCTAGGCTTCTTTATGGGAGTTCCAACTCCGCTGCACGTCTTGGAGTTGTGCTTTCTACCGTCGCGTGATACCGCAAGTACCATCTTCTTGTGATGCTTACACCAATTCCATTCCCTCATGGACCCGCTTTTGTTGGCTTTCTTGATGATCTTGTCCTCATCGCCGGCTTTTGGAGGGGTAACAAGCCAGGTGTCAAAGTCCCCATTATCTTTGTCCTTGCGGCCATCGGCCTTGGGCTTCTTGCTTTGTTTGGGGTCAGTTGGAGGCTGCTTCCGCTTGCTCCCAAATTTTTGGATTTTTGCGGTGTAGTCCTTAATAATCTCCCTCTTGTCCTTCGCCTGGCTAGCCGAAAGGGACATGATCTGTTGTTTCTGTGAGGGAAGGTGCCAGAGACCCTCTGAGACAAGATTGTTGTACTTGGTCTCTCCTTCCTTCATGAGGTCTTCGTGCGGTATTTCGGGCATGTTGTTTTTGATTGACATAAAGGCCCTGAATTCGTCTTGATCAACTTGATTGTATCCTTGCGCGAGGGCGTTGTAGGTCATGACTTCGTTTAAGCTAGAGGAGCCTCCCATAGCTCGGATCTTGGCCTTAAGTTCGTTGAAACGTTGATTAAAAAGGATGATGCTGTTGCCATGCTCGATCGGGGACAAAGTTTGTAGGTCGTTAATTAGGAATTGTATCGTCCTCCGATTGGATGGAGAGGTTAGATTGCAGATGATCTTGAAAATCGTGGGTCCGTCGCAACGGCCCCTAATCTGAACATAATCGTCTTCACGTTGTTCAAGACGCTGCTTGAATTCGTTGGATACAGAATCCAGGAGACACATCCCTAGGGCGTAACTCGCCTGGCGGAAATAGGTGTTCGTCCTCCATCGGCTTGTTGCAGCGGCTTGCGTTGCGACAAGGGAAATCTCGCCGTATTTTGACAGCAAATTTTTGGTCATTGCATTTTCGGTAACGTCAAAAACAGGAAGGCAGTGCATGAGGGTACAGCGGCCTTGTATATCCTTGATCAATCGGGACAGGTCTGTGCCATCGAACTTGTTTGAAAGTGGTTGCTTTGCCTGGTTGTAGAGGCCTAGCTCGAGTTTGTTCTTGAGGTCCAGTGGTATTATGCCACGGGGATAGGCATCAAGGCCGTCTTCGTTCGGTGGAGGCAAAGGGTTTTGCACTGGTCCTGGTTGTTGCACCACTGGTGGTGCCATCGCTGCCGGCTGTTGCTGCGCCGCATGAGGTTGTTGCTGCGGTGGCATTGCGTTCCCTTGAGGTGGTGGCGGTAGTGGGTTTGCATTTAACTGCGGTAGTGCTGCCATGAGCGCTTGCATCATTTGTTGCTGACCTTGGATTAATTGCATGATCAGATGGTTGTTGGCGCCGGCGCCAGGGTTATTTTGCTGTTGTTGTGGCTGCTGTGGAGCTGGAACTTGTTGTGGCGGTTGCTGTGGAGCTGCGGCGTTGTTATTGCCTTCACCAGCTACAACGTTGTTGTTTCCTGCGCCAGCGTCGTCTCCTCCTTGCTGCGCCAGATCCATGTTGATGTCTGGGGCTGCTTCGGCTTGAGCGTCTTCTTGGTTGTCTGCTATTTCGCCTTGTCGTCGGAGTTCTGCTATTCCCTCAGCAAATCTCAAAGGTCGCCTTCTATTGGTGCGCAGGGGATTACGACGAGGAGGGTCCACTACCATGTAGTTTCAATTCGATTCTATTAGACGCAGAGGGAGCGTGTGTGAATCTAATGGATTTCAGGTAGGATCGATATGATTATGTAGTTAAGTTATATAGAGAGATATAGTTGATGAGTTGTGATGTCAAGAGATCCCTTCTCTTGACGTCCTTTCTTGAGGTCATTATTCATCATTCTCCCATCTTCCGTTAGGTCGGCGTACAGACTCTGGGTCCGAATATTCCAACACAAGCAAGCATCAATCGAAGACAAAAAAGGTTGAAAACATCATCAACCTCATTGCCTCTACAACGAACAAGACGCTTCGTAAGAGATCAATCAGAACTACTGTAACAAGAAACTTTAGAAGAAAGTCACGCTTCCACTTCCAACAAGTAAACACAGTACCCTAAGTTCCAATAGACTATCATAAACCAAAAATACAATACAACAACAACAATGATTAAGGATATGATTGACAAGCAAGTCCTGGAGCTTAAAAAGCTCTGGGCTAACAAACGCCAATTGCTATTTCAACTTTTGAATTTGGCAATGATTGTATTTTCGGCATTGATGATCTGGAAGGGTCTCATGTTTTTGACAAAGGTACGGATGGAGGTATCACTTGATTCATCATCATCATTGCTGCTGCTGTTGCGGCACGAAGGGTTTTTTTTTCCGTTGCTGGATTTCTCGTCTAGTTCAACGCAAGAATGCACACCCCTATGACCAATTCGATGAACACTTGTTGAAATTGAATGGGAACTTACACATTTTTCTTTCTCCTTGTGTTCTCTATTTCAATGCTCTGTTTGAAACCATTACTGCGCTCATTTCCAAAACAACAGAGTGAATCCCCAGTCGTTGTGGTATTGTCAGGATCCATGGAACCTGCCTTTCAAAGAGGTGATATTTTGTTCTTGAACAATGCGGTGGAACAAGTAGGAGTCGGTGACGTTGTCGTCTTCAAAATCAAGGATCGAGATATTCCCATTGTCCATCGCATCCTCAAGGTTCATGAAGATGAAAATGGCAAGGTCGAACTCTTGACCAAGGGAGACAATAATCGAGTAGATGATAGAGGCTTGTATGCTCCTGGACAACTGTGGCTGGAGCGAGAGGATATTTTGGGCAAGGCCGTAGGTACCCTGCGGTATGTGGGTATGGTGACCATTGCCTTGAACGATTATCCCGTATTGAAATACGTCCTAGTGGGGATGATGGGACTCTTTGTTTTGACTAGTAAAGAGGGCTAAAGTAAAAACATACAAATTTATACATTTGAAGAGCCTTCGATCTCTGGGAATGGTGACTGTGAAAAAAAAGGCCAGTGTTTTGAAGACAAAGCGGCTATTCCAATACCAATTGAGGTATTTTCTAATGCCCCATCACCATGGATCCGTCATTACGATGATACGCTTGTTCTGGTGGCAAAATGTTGTAGAACAACAGGCGATACAATCCCAATCGCAAGAGCATTTTCGCTCCAGTTCCCAATCGTGCGGGTGCTTTCCACGTGTTGTTGGTCGTCCGAGGAAACGGGACGATTCCGGCCGTTGAGGTTGCAGAAGGCAAAGTCGACATTTCCCAAAATGTCTGAACCAGAGATGGAGTTGTTTGATTCCCAGATGATGTTTCAAATGGGAGTAGCAAGTGGGCGAGGGCCGAAGAGTTGTGAAGAATCGAATGTATGTCGGCTGGAGACAGGTATTGAACACATCGATGGGTCAAGCGCAATTCTTGTTCGTTGCTGGACGAGGAGCCTTTTCCATTTTGAGGGCGATTGTCGTCTACGTGCTCCTCTTGTTCTGCTGCCACCGCCGCTGTCTTTGCCCTTTTTTCTTCTTCTTCTTCTTCTTCTTCTTGTAACCAGGTTTGCAGTTGCGATGCCAGGTGGCTGCAGGTACCGTTCAAAATATGGATTATGGAGTCTTGTCCGGGTGATGACGAATGGTGCAGCGTATTGGAGCTCATATTCAGTGCTGCTTGAAAAATGCGATCCAAGTGTTGACGGTGTGACAAGAGTAGCAACGAGGATCGATTCGAAGGAGATTTATGAACGAACAAGCGATCCAACAAGCCTTTTCGTTGTCCTTCATTGGCAATGCGAGCCTTTTTCTGAGCATCCATCACTTGTTGAAACTGACCAGCCTTTTTTCGTTGCTTGACTACGACCATGGCCAAAGCAGTCTTCAGCATGCATTCTTCCTCATGTGTCAGCGTAGAGATCGGTGCCTGTGAAAAAACTGAAGTCATGGAAGGGCGTTTCTCGAGTGAGGCGGAAGATGAAGGCATTCTAGTTGCCGGTTTCATTTTTGTTCTGATTTTTCATCGATTTTGATATTATTGTCATTGATTGAGATTGATTCAAACGTGATTGATTGATTGATTCATTCATTCGTGTTTTTCTTCAGGAGATGAAAAAGTCTTTCTTTAGCAATCAAATCTCAGGGCCATATGTACCGGTATGCATGCGGTATGATACCGGTAGCAATTTCAAGTTTTATATACAGCATACTATGTATGCGGTACAGTAGTGTGGCACCTTCTTGAGCTTCGACTCTTGCGGGGCCTCGCTCGTGCAAAACCACACCTGGTGCAACCAGCCACAACACGCAGCCAGGCACTACGACGAGTACCATCTACTCCTTGCGTAACGAAGATGGAAGTATTGTACAGTACCTGGTAGTCGTAGCATGCTAGTATTTCTTTTTGATCAATCGATTGAGTGAGTTTTCAAAATCTTGTTATAATTGCTTATGCTTTCACATGTACGTGTACTATTCAAGCAATGTACGATACCGCAGACAGCCAGTAGGCTAGGAAACTGTATTCAAAATTTCGATAGCTGCTAGCAAGCACATTAGTCTTCCAAGTCACTCTCGTCATCACTGCTGAAATCGAACAAACAATCTTGGTTTTTTCGCAGGAGTTCTGACAGGTGGTCGCTGTTGTCTGTAAGAAGTTCAATAGTTCTTCGTTCGGAGAGTGATGAGCCTTTCCTTCGCAGGGGGCCTCTTCGTCCACTTACTCTCCGTGATGGAGAGTTGACGATATCAAGAGCCTTATCAATCGATTCGCTCCGAGATTTCTTATGAGAATGAGAAAGAATGTTGCTCATTTGATTTTCTTCTGCAGTTTTTGCAGGAAGCTTCGACAAGAACAACTTCCTCTTCAGGTCATTGATTTTCTTCATTTCATCGGTTCTCTTCGTATAAGTTGCACTGGCCTTCGTGTTGCCTTGAGCCCTGATCATGTTGTGTGTGTTAGGCATCGTGGTAGTGTGTTCGTTGATTTCACAAAAGCAGTTGTTGGTTCGAGGAAAGGAATGATTGAACACGAAATGTTGGGCACCGCACAGTTTCTGATCGTGTGATATAGTTGACGGCAAAATTCCCGCCTCCGGATTGAATGATTGATTCGGTGCCACCTGAAAAGTTCCGCCATATTTAAAAGCGACACAAAAGACTAACGTTGAAGTTGAACCTACCGAATAACATCTCCCGCTCCGTACTTTTTGTCAACCGCATGGTCCAAATTGAAAATAATAATTAAAAAAGGACTTTTTGTCTACCGCATGGTCCAAATTGAAAATAGTATAATGTCGTGTTAATACTGTAAATAGTACTGTACCAGCATCATTGCTCTTCTCTTGGTATCCGTCTCTTGTATCCTTCTCTTGTATCCCTCTCTTGTATCATCCTTCTCTTGTATCCTTCTTTTGTGGCTCGGCAACGAAAAGAAGAATGAATGCTGACTCTGGAGGAGGGCATTTCAAGCCATCGAGTTTCATCATGATTATTGGATCGACCGAATACAACAAAATAATTGAAGCAGAAGCAAAAAGGATGATTCGACAAAAGAAAGACTAATATACCGGATAGTATCGATGTGTTTTTTTAATAGTCCAGCTGAATCGAAGAAGTCAAAAATCGCACCTCTGGTGATTTTTCACATCATCATGCAGTAGATACACTTTCACACCTTATTATCACCGACACCTGCCTATCTCCTAGGTTACGATGTTGACCATATTCCTTTGGTTGCTACTGCTGACAATTGGAGACTTCAAAGCCGCCTTATGCTTTTGCCGAAACTATGAATCCGCAACAGCTAAAAGACACTACTTTAGCGTTGTTGAAAGTTCTCAGTATTCTTTTGATGAGACCCATAGCGGCATCAACAACGACAAGTTCCACAAACAGGATGGTAACTCAATCCTTGGAACTGTATGTGTAGATTACTCTGCGGCGAATGAATATATTCGAGCACATTATGGGGATCAGTCACCACGACTACCGTTGTATTTCGAACAAGAAGAATCAATTGAAACAGTACATGATGCACGGTGTGGTGTTCCCTGTACTACTACTGCTGCTGCTACTACTACTACGAATAAAGAAAACCCACTGATAGGGGATGATACCACGACAAATACCGTGGCTAGTTTGAAGACTTGCGGTTTTACTTTGGTTTCACCACCAGCCATATCTCCTGAAGATGTCCAACAGAATAACTGGAATAATTTGGAATGGATACAACGCAATCGCCTACCTCAATGGCGAAAAAGCTTGAAGCAACTGTACAACCATGATGCTCCCAACCATCAGCGGACCATTCGACACATGCTCTTTTGGAATCCCATGTTGCGCGGACCACCACGAAAACCAATAACAACTACGACTCCTTACAATAATGATTATGGGGGCAATACTGAAAGCTTTTCGTCAACTCCAAAAGCAAGTTATGCTGCGTTGCCCCACATTGATATGGATGTCAATGCCTATGATAACTTTGAAGACTTTTTGGATTTGATGGAAAATAATGAGGTTGAGATACTCGATGCTAGTGACGGTGGCACTTTATCAGCCAATCAAGAACGAATACGACAACGACGCCAGGATATCTTGGATTCCATCCAAAATAAGCATCGTGGTTTTGCCATTGTGAATGCTTGGTGCAATGTTGGCAAGCATCCTGTTCGAAAGGACCCTTTGGGTCTCTTTTCTGTCCAATATGACGATGATAAGACGACGTCCAGCATTGCAGCCTTTCCAATGGCAGCCCCCAACATGAACAAGAGTCATTGGTACGCCTTTTCGGACATGATCCCCAACGAGGTGCTCTACTTTTGCCAATACGACCGAGATACATCGTGGCCGTCCGACTTGTGGCATTGTAGTCTGGATGGCATTGTGACGACAAAGCATCAGGGACAACAAACCAATTTACCACCACGGGAATCCTTTGATATTCGCTGTCTACTTGTCTTTGACGAAGAGGTACCGCTGGAGCAAGATAGGTTTCAACGGGCAAATCGACTGAGTTCTCTTTTGTCACTGGAAGAATCTGGGTGCTTCTGCGAGGGGCAATTCGAAGAGCGACGAAGAGAAGACGGTGTTTCGGATTGAAAACTGCTTTGGCGGCGACACTACCAGTAATATGCAAGAAATCTTTTCTTGACCCGTATTCTGGTTTCGGGTTCGAGCTTTCTTCGCAACCTGCTGGATGATCCATTATCCTTACTACTACCAGACGCAGTGAGCGACTGGACAAGGCATCAAGATGCTTCTGATCCTAGACGCGCTTTCGGATTTCTGATTCGAGCATTCATTCCAAACGCGCGTCTGTGTAGTTCCTTACTCGATGGCACCAGCTGGTTTATACATGGGCGACTGGGAAAAGAACGAATCAAGGTCCATGGAGATGCTTCTCTTCCTGGGCGTGTTTTAGAATTTCTAGTTCTTGCCAAGTACCTACTACAACTACACGTGATGAGCTGACTGGCCCTTGACAAGTACTGCGACTGTGGACGCGGAGGGCGACTGGCAAAGGCCAACGACTGAAACTTTAGATTTGTGAAAGATCCCAACACTTGTCATAAATTTGAAATGTGAGTGAAATAAACCGATTGACGACATGCTGAGCCTGTTTCAATTTTGAATGACTCTTGCGTCGGCATAGCAGTGCCGATACCACTTCTTCTCATGTACCTTGTTTTACAAATGTTCTTTCCACAGATACTCAGCAAAAGTTACCATAGGAAAAATGCCAACCGGATACTCGTTTTACGCAGAGCAGGAAGCCAAGCGGCAAGCTCAACGAGCGCAAGATAGGGCGAGAGACGAGCAGAAAGCTAGGGACAGAAAGGAGGAAGCAGATAAAAAGAGAAACGCGGCGAAGTGGAAGAAGTAATTACTTCTTTCACCAAGAGAACACGACGAGATGCTTTAGTTTTTTGTAATCGGTGAGGGAAGGTTTCGGATAGTCAGGCAAGCCATAAGGCAGCTCTGAGCTGACTTAGCAACAATGCCTCCTTCTCACAATAATTTATAAAATCAAATTGACCATAGCTGTTTGTGAAGATTGTACTTTCGGAATGCTGCAGATGACAGTTGTACACACCGTCAGCGATTCATCCTTCGCCTTTTCTGCGGTATTCCATTCTAACCGGTATCCTTTGCTGGTACACTATGCCTTACCCCTTTGTTCAAATGATTGAGAAGAGTGTTTCGTAGTGCCTAAGAGCAGAATGTGACTTTCGGCTTTCCGACGAAGTGTAGTGGTTGTGTTCTGTAGGTTGTGTCGTTGACTGCTTCACCTATGATTCCTAGCTATCAACCGTATGTCTGTTCTTCCTGATCTTTCTTCTCAGCATAATATTCGGCCCAATTGTGGAAATAACACAGTTTACAAGAGGTGTTCACCAAGTCAATCACCATCAATGACAACCAAGCAGCGATTACCAGGCGATGAAAGAAGTTCTGAGCTTGCTCTTGCCCAGCCACATAATGTTCCCACTTGTCGTCGACTTGAAAGCGGAAGTCCTTAATCGTAGCATACATTGGAAGCAATAGAAGCATAACTCCAGGCAAAAAACAAATAGAGTGAAAACCAACGAGCCCAGCGGAAAACTTAGGCTACCAATCAACAATGATTGGATCGACCTTTGCCTGTCATATTTGGCTTTCTGAATCTCCACCTCCCAACTGTCGTATGTGAAGAAAGTGACGGCGTCTTCTGATTCCGAGAAGCACAACAAATCAATCGTTTCCCCAGGCTGGACCGGGGATTCCCTCTTATACAGTGAAGGAACATTGCCTACTGCAAAAGCATAATCGACTGACATCCACTGCCGATGTTTCTGTTCCTCGAGATCCTTTCCGTCCTTCCTTTTGGCCGGGAGAGTAAACTTAACGAGTCTGTAAATGCGTTTGCTGCGTCTTTTCGACAAGTAATTGTATACCAATCCTTCCACTATTGTTCCCTTCTTGAAATATCGTTGTAGCAATCGACGACGACTTGGTAGTCCAAACAGCTCGCGAACTAGGAAGAATGCTCCAGGAAACACCACTGTGTGGTATATCGGAGCAACCACGTCATCCAAAATTATGCGAAGCACGTAGAATGGATAGACCAACAGATGAAATAGATTCACCAGAACTCGGAACCGCCTCGTTACTAGACCCGGTGTAAGTCCAAATAGCGGGGAATGAATGCTCCAACCGACCAAAGAACGTTCTGAGTGTCGAAAGTAACTGATATGTCGTTCGGAGACGTACCTTAATTTTTTGCGATACAAACGGTCGAGATCCCAATCATCCAATGATGGCCAACTAAGCTCCGTTGTGAAGACCATCGATCTAGAACAGAGCAAGCAGAAATGAGGATGCCTTAGTTTGGCACTGGGTGATAGATGATCTTTGATGTACGTCCCGTATTATTGGTAAAATACTTCATGATTATTCTTCATGACCCAAATCCATCACCTTTTCATTTGGTCCGTCCACCACCATGGTCGAAGGAGTCAAAGTTTATTCTCCCTCAAAAATTTGTGACCGACTACGACCAACGGAAACCTCTTCCAACCCAACTGAAACAACAAACATTTATATGCGGGCAAGACTGAAGTAAAAGGCCCAATCCCAAGACATCGGCCCGCCGGAACGTGAGACTGGGGTAATGATTGTATGGACCAACCATGGTTTGTCAGCTACTACTACCGGTACGATGCGACGCTTGTGGTGTGTGCCTTCTCCTTATTCTGTGAAAGCGACAAGATGGTGGACGGCAAAGATGACAAATGAAGCTACTGATGGGGCCTCTTCTGTTGTCACTTGGCGGTGCTGCTGTTGGTTGGAGAATAGTAATAGGTCAATGCCCACATGGCAGTCTGTATCTTTGTTGATGAGGAGCACCAGCCAAAAACCTTGGAGACGACGGATGAGTGGCACTACTGAAAATCTTGGCAAGACAAGCAATACCCTCTATCTTCATGTGGGACCAAGCGGGGACTGCTGGACAGGAGATTCTATTTTTGCGGCCAAGCACCTGCAGCCAGATTATGTCAAATCCATTCCTCTTCCTGTGAATAATAACGTGACGGATGAGGATGGTTTGCAGCAGCAAAAAATTGACTGTCTGCTAGAAGTTTTGGAAGATGATCAGGACTTGACAGCGAGTATCTATGATACGGAGAGCATTCCATCAGAACTGTTGGAGCGCATTTTTTGAAGAGCAGAGAACAATACCGACTTCATTCGATCGCCATGATGTGCTCATCAGCAAGGACTCGAAGCTCATTCTGAAGATGAGGAAGCTTCATTAGACACTAAAACTTTGCTCACAAAATGTGAAGGCACTGAATGACTCTTGTTGCCGTTCACAGCTCGTAGCCGGTTGTATTTGACAAATCTCAGATGCAGTCAGATCCATCAACCAACCTCCAAAGTTAAATCATACACTGCTCTATGCAAGGCTCTAAGCCAGACAGTCTAAGATAGAGAGTTGTTTGAATAATCTTACTATAATCAAGTACCGGGGTCAAGGGGATATATACTAGCCAGTTTTAGTAAATTTAATCGTGGTCATTCTTGGAGAATCAATTACCTTCTTTAATTATTAGGCCCAACCTGACGCAATACAGTACTACCGGTATGCAGTAGCGTCTGAAAATACGTTGCTGGCCGAAATTGTCTTTTAGAACATCGACGAATTTTTGGTGAATTCAGCGAGCTCGTATACCAAGTTGCGTAGCTGTAGTACGAAGAGGTACGTCACTTCCCTACCATGACAGACATCAGAACTCTGGGATGTGATATTTTCAAACAAGCAGGTTTCGCTACACTTGTTTGCTTACTCACCTGCTCGAGCAGTCCACACACATTCCAACAGAAACACACACTCCTATAAACCAAACGCAAACGCAACCACAACCACAAATACTCATACTCATACACCAACCAAACCACCAACATCATCTATCTATGAGTACTGGATCACCCAAACGAGGATGGAGTCCCCACTCCGCTGCCCTGAAACGACGACAACGCAAGTCTTCTGCGGACGCTAGCAAAATTCTTGGCGCTCTTGGCAATCTCGACATTGCATCTGATGATGAGGATATTGACCTTTTCAAGATGGCTATGGAAAAGGATAAAGATAAGCCTCTTCGAAAGGGCAGAAGGAAGGGCAGTTCCCCTGCTAAGAAACGTTCCATGTCCCCCAGGAACAAACTGCTGGAAAACAAGAAACTAGCCGAAAAGAATGGAGGTCAGGTTCCCTTGCAAGAGGACATTCCTCCCGCGATTGCTGAGAAACTGGCCATCATTTCTGATCCTGAGACGGATATTAAGGAACGTATTAAACTAGAAGTGGAAATGCGAAAGAATCCTGAAGAAGAAGAATACCTTGCAATTTTCCGAACCAAGTTTGACCGCAAGAAGTTCCTGAGTGTCAAGGAACAAAAGGATAAGGAAGAACAAGAACAATTGCAAAAGAACCTGAAGGAAGAAGAACTGCGAAAGAAACAAGAAGAGGAGGAATTTGCCAGAGCAAGACAGGCTGAACTCGATGCACAGCGTGAAAAGGAAGAGAGAGAAGAGAGAATGAAGGAAGAAGTGCGACTGCACCGTGCCAAAGTTTTGGTCCAGGATTCTGAAGAAGTCCGGAAGAATGCCGAAAAGATGTTGGTCGGAGTTATCGAGAAGATGGCTTTGAATGAAATGGAAGAGAAGGAACGACAAGCACGAATTGAAGAATTCTTGCAAAAAGAGGGCGCTGATTTGACCCATGTCGAAAAAGAACTGGCCAAAGCCCTTATGGAACAGAAAAGCACCAGGACCGACCTCTAACATATGATTATGAAGGTATATCTACGGATACAAAAGGAGTTGTGAAAGAGAGGAGCCGATTAAGAATTCAAATCAAATCAAATTGATTGAAGCATAATAATTGCAATATATGTGTAGTAGCATACGTTTCGTGGTTAACTTGTATGTCTCTATTATTGCTTCTGTACCGGTACTAGTGCTATTAGGGTATTTTCCTGTGTTCACGAAATCCAAGCCGATTGCCATTCCAGCACTGGAAGGATGCTGATCTGAGTTTTGAAACGTGCACGTTCGGTTTCCGTTTTCAGGACGGGACTCTTCAGCATATTGTCCCATCTTCTGTAATACCAGGTTTTTGAATTTACTTATAGTGGTGAACAAATGCTGTAGTGGATCAATGTTGTAAATCCATTGCTTTATTCTATGTTTCAGCCATCTGAGCATTTTAAAATCTATCTTATGCTTTAGCAGGCACCAAGTCGCCTTCGGGTGTTAACAAACACTTGATCGGAATTGCATTTTCGGGTGTAACGTTGCACTGATAGTGATGCGTCAACATGGATCTAATCACATTGTAGTGGCAAACCACGGCAATGCACTTTTCGGATCGCTCTTGATACAGCCAACGAAATGCGTTCTCGATCCTTTCCTTCTTGGAAATGTTCGGAGAACGTGCAGTTTTTGGCCAGCCTTTGGGTTGGAGGCTTTCCGTATCAATAGCACCTGAACGATTGCGAAGATCTTTCTTCAGTGACTTGAGCACCTGATCCATAGGAAGTGCGGTATTCTCTGGAATACGACTTCCAATCTCACACAGATCGTAGTGCACCAGAATGTCTTGTTGGTCGTCAAAGCCCAGAACAGCAGTATGCAAAGCTCGTCTCAGCGGTGAGGAGATTACCAAGTCGATATTGGCAGCATCGGGATCTTGTCCCAAGAGATCTGAAATCTCTTCAGCTTGCTTATATCCTTTGGCCGTCAATCCACAATCCGTAAACTCTTCGCCAGAGTAACTCCTCTTTTGTTTGCGTGCAGCCTGACCTTCCGATTGACCATGGCGAATCAAATAGACTGTCTTACATTGTGATCTATCCTTGATGACAGTGGGTTCCTTCTTCTTTTTCTGGGCATTCTTCTTCTGTTGCTTTTGCTTTTGCATCGGAATGGTGGTCGCTGACGGTTCCCATCCGTCCTTGAGCATCCGAGTGCAAATGCGAGCAATGTTTCTGGAATCGTCAATTCCCGAGTGATGCCGACCTTCCAGTTTGAGATCCAAGTCTTCGAGCATCGTGATCATCCCTAATGCCTTGCGTTTGTAAAACTTTCCGTATGCCTTCTTGATGTTCACCCAGTTCGAAAACATTTGAGGGACAGTTTGGTTGTGGTGGGCCAACTGATTTGGCAAACAAGTCTTGAGGTCCCAGTCACCACATGTTACATAGAGGAACTGAAACTTTTCTCCTTCGTCTTGATTATAATTGACCTTATGATCATTGGTAAGATTATGCTTGTTAATCCACTCAGAGTGTAAATAAAGAGCATTCTTCAGACTGATGCCTTCGTCGACTGCCTCTTGTGAAATTCCAGTCAATTCAGTGCAAAAAGAGGACAATTTTGGGTGAACATCTGGTAGGAGATAGTGATGAAATTCACCTTCTATTGCTCCCGTTTTCACATTGAGAAGAACCGCTGGAAATTCAATGATTTCTTGCGGTTTGATTGGTGGATTCTTGCCGCCATTGCTATCATTGCATGTGGCTTCAAAATCCACAATAACTAAAAAGTCTGGGAACGTGCTTCCGGTACCAGTACTTGGTGGTGTTACGGTTTGTGCTTTTGTTGACATGATGTTATCGATCTGAAAAGCCGGTGACTCCTGTCAGCTGCTTACGCTATTTTGACTTCAGTGCGAATTTAGGCAAAAGTAATAACTTCAACTCGAAATATGCGACTTTTGATCAAACATTATTGAAACGTGAGCTGAAACTTGCTTTGAATTAAAATCGTGAACTACCGGTGAAACTTGCATCAGACGTGCACGTATGCACACAATATTAAAAAATAAAGCGTTCGCGAGCCTCAATCGATCTTCAACCCAAGAAAAAAAATCGTAAAATCGCCACGTATGCTTTTTTAACAATTATTCAATAGTGAGTGAACACGTCATGCGTTGAGAAAGAGCCGTGTCATTCATAAAGAACGATCGACGGAGGTTCACCTATATATGAAGTGCCGGAATATTCATCGAACGAATGTTGGTTGTCACTTCCATGTGAAGAAAAGGGCTTATATAAAATGGTTGTATGAACGAATGAAGGAGGCGTTTTGGTTTTATTCTCCCAAGACTGAGCCAAACTCCGAGCCAAATGCAGCCAACTGCATGCGGCTTTTTTCGCAGTTGTGAAACTGCGAAAACACAAACCTGCCATAAAACATGAGTGCTGACTCAATGATCATGGCCCCGTCATTACAACTCCACAGCCCTATGGAGTTTCAAATATACAGGCAATTAGAGCCTGACACCAAGATCAACGATCTGCCAGTATTTGAAGAGTCTAGTATTCGCAAGATTTGCAAGCTCGGGAGCGGATGTCACCATGACGTCTACCTTGTTTCAACGCAATCTAGGCAACAGCTAGCGCTAAAGTGTCTAAGTCAAAGCACAGTTCCGAATCAAGAGCTATCTGCTGATCTCACAAGTGATTTGATGATGGAAGCACAAATTCTTGCTGGTCTCGACCACGAGAACATTATCAAAGTTCGTGGGGTCTCTTGTGATCCAGTGGAAAGCGGTATGACTGGTTCCGGGTACTTCTTCCTCATGGATGTGCTGTCTGAATCTCTATTTGACAGAGTCCAACGATGGTCTAAAGACGAGAGTTGTTTCAACGGAATCAAATCGTCCATCTTGGGAAAGCGGATGAGGAAGCTTGACCCCAAAAAGATGATGAGTCGCATGGAAACTGTAGCCATTGGAGTGGCACAGGGAATGGCATATTTGCACAACAAAGGAGTTGTTTTGCAAGATCTCAAGCCGGTAAGTCAACATGCACACACATTTTTCTTGGACATGTTTACTACTTTGAACTATCTCTCACAATCCGGCCTTCGTCTTCTACTTTCAGGCAAATATTGGGTTTGATATTGAAACAGGACAAGCTCGTATCTTCGATTTTGGAATGGCTAGACATGCTCTAGACCTATCGATGAACAAGACCGCAGAGATCTGTGGGACACCCCGTTACATGGCCCCTGAAATCATGAAGGGCGAGACACCGACAAAAGCATCCGATGTTTACTCCTTTGGGTGTGTCTTGTACACCCTTTGTAGTCTCAAGGTGCCCTTCCGCAGTTTTGCAGCAAAAGAGAACGAGCTCGAAGAATTCAAGGCTATGGTGATTGCTGGTGAAAGACCATCCTTAAAATGCATTCCCTGCCCTCTGGTTCGCAGCTTGATTCGAGATTGCTGGGCTCAAGATTCACTTGATCGGCCAACCTTTAACGAGATTGTTGAAGAAAGACTACCTGACATTCGCACTGAATGGCGCAACAACAGACACAAGAAGAAGTCAATTAAGAGAACCAACTCTGGTTCCTTGAACGATTCCCTTCATAGCTTGTTCCGAAGCGATTCTGGAATCACCATCTCTGTCAAGAGCTCGTTGTAACTAGATGCACGGTGACTGCTATTGAGCATTGATTGGACCCGCTTCATTTTTCATAGGGGTGCATGAAACATTTTGAATCTCAATTTTCCTTGCTGAGAGAGATATAAATACCATCTCCTCATTCGCGGGATTCATTAACTCGTGATCAACAGTACCAATCTTTCCTACTACCGTACATAATCGTCATCATCGGCGCAAAAAGATCAGCCATGAAGTCCATCCTGTTGCTTGCATTGCTATGTTTGGCCTCATTCCGACCAGAAGTATTTGCCTGGGGTTCAAGCAATCACCGAATAAGATCTGCGCCGTTGCGACGTACGAAGACTTTGTCGAATCATCATCGTGCGTCCCGTACATCCTTCTCTTCCTGCACTCAAATCAAACTCAAATTCATAGACTCATCGGACGAGGAAAGTGCCCCAAGACTGATCCTGTCTCCCGAAGAAGATGATGCTATTCGCTCAGTTGCCAAAAGTCTGAGTAGTGATGACACGTACGGCGTTGGATGGTTTGATCGTCCAGAAGCGTGGGCTACTGCGAAACAAGACTTTCCAGTGCTTCAGCCATATGAGGATGCAGATCTGAGAGACGCATATCTCAAGCAAAAGCCTAAAATTTTGGTGGTATTTACAGATACTCCGTTGGGGCCATTCCTTTTTATCAATCTTATTGTGAAGTTTTCTGGATTTACATGGTGTGACACCCCTTTTGGTCAAGCAAGTGCTTGTCTTTCAAAATAAAGTGAAAATACAGAGCAGTCTCTTTCGGCGTTGCTCGACACTGCTACAAGTAATATTATACAGTCTACATATGTCAGACAAGCCCAAATTTTGTGATTTCTTGTTTGAATAACGATTTCATGATGCTGCACCTATCTCAAAATTTATGAAAGTGCTTTGATTTGCAGATAGTTTTTCCTCTTCATTTGAGCCATACGCTGCCGGGTCGCTTCCTCTCGCATCAGTTTCTGTTTTTTAGCTTCTTGCTTGCCCACTAAACTTCTTAGCTCCTTATGGATTGCGGTGCCAGCAACATTGTCCTTCAACATCAAACCTAGCTTTTTTGCAGATTTGAGAATCAAAATTTGACCAGCTGTTCGTCCCCCTCTTCGCAACGGAGTGTTGTGCTTCCCGCTATTGCCTACTCCACCTTTTCCACCAGACCCGCGTTCGTGAGCGTGTTGCCATTTGATTCCAAGTTTAGCCATATCGTTCAATCTTGGTGTGACAACTCGTCCATTCCCTTTGGTTTGCTGCTGACGCAGTTCAGCCTCCAGCAAGTCGCACAGCGTAATCGCGTTCTCTACCAGTTTCCCTTCCATTTCTTCTTGTGTGCCAGTCGGGACCCCCTTAGTTCCTTTCTCACGATCATCAATCCATTGCTTGGCAATTGATCGTGAGGCTTCGAGCAACCACGAACGGCAATCGTCCAATTCCCACTTAGGGGCTGGCTTTGCTTCGACTCCAATCAATTGGTTGTCCTTTGCCTTATCCTCGTTTTCCTTCTTGACGGTTGCAAAATCCAAGAGGATGCCTCCTTTACCTGCCAGATTCGCGTGATGCATATCACTGCGCCGTGATGCCCGTTTATTAACAAAGGTGTCAGCCGGGGCAGCTTCTTCCTTTTGTTTCAATATTTGCCGCCCAGCAGAGCTTAATTGATCAAAGGCTTCGCATAGACAGGCAGCAATGACAGCCTTGAATTGTTGAACCAATTCACGATCGTCACGAAAGCCAGCAAAAAGTTCTTTGGCTCGCTGCACAACGGCCTCATGCAAATTCAGTGCATCTCCGACGTGCGCCATTTGCATAAAGGCGTCCTTCTTTTGTTTGTCCTTGTATCCAATACGTGTACGTCGATCTCCCTTTCCGAACTGGGAAATATTAAGTTCAGTATAGGCGTGCGCATTACGTAGCACTGTTTCGAGCCCCTTGTTCTGTGATCCAAAGCCACCAAGTCCTGCCCCAGTGGTGACCTGAATGCCTCCCAACGTCGTGGACATGTTGTGTGCGTTACTGTAGAGTGGATTTGCAGAGTCTCCATGATGATTACGGTCAGCTTCACCCTCAAACTTACGGTAGGCACTTCCTTCATGCATGAGTGCCTCGCTGGCTACCGTACCACAGCTGCTGCAAATCACATCACCATTCTTACGATCCAAAATAAATAGGGATTGGTCGTTGTTGCCGCAAGATTTGCATCTCTTGTATTTCTCAATCTCGTGCACCCCAGTGGACTTTGCTGTGGGCAAGTCCTCTCCCTCTATCATAGGTCGCCCGATTCCCTTTCCCAAAATAACAGTCTCGTAAATACGCCTTCGAACAGACTTGAATTCGGCAGGCTGCAAATCCGAAGCGAGCATTTCTTGGATACGAATTGGTGTAGTGACCAAGACATCCGTTTCCATGCGCGTTTGAATGGCCAAATGGAGGGCAAGTGCCACTTGCTTGAGCTGCTGAAGCGACGCATTCGCCGCGGACGGAATCTGTTCCGTGTTGGTAACAGCAGGATTCACGGTCCAGGAGCGATCTTGGACAAGCCCGCCTTGGATCCCTGCCATACCGTTCGCAATCCCAGACAAGAGCAGCTGACTGAGTTTACCACCGCTCGATTTTTTCAGTTCCTTTGCTGCGTCTTCCAACATGTCTTCATACGTCACATCGTCGCCATCGTCGGGCTTGCGAATGCTGTGAACGATCAAGTTGAAAGGATCCACCAGTTCATACTTGACACGAGTGGTTGCCCGTTTCCCATTTTCCGTCTTGATTCGTTTGGATGGCGGAGGCTCGGAAGAATTATGTTGTGCAATATTCACTTCCGTCGTTTTGGTTTGAAGTGAATTCAAGGCGTATTCTAAATTGGACCAAGCTTGTGCTGCAAGTTGCGGTGGAACCTTTTTTGGATCTGAGAAATGTTTTTGCGAAGATTATTTCGAGAGAGAGAGAGAGAAATATCGAGTTAGCAACAATATCACTCAAAGAGGCAGTGAAATTCTGAGAGTGATTGATTGCTGAATTCGACAGACTGACTCTTACAGTCCATACTTGGTTTGTTTGACTACAGTAATGACTGACTTACTGACTGCCACTGACAGTTTCTGAAGCATCTGCAGTTTAGAGCATTCTCTTGTGGTGCCAAAAGACCTACCTTTGAATATGGAATTGATTGATTGCACCCAGTTCCTCAATTCAGTTCCCTCATAATCCCAAAGTGCCATGTACGTTGATGTCATCGTATTATTCGAGGTGGATGGTGCCTCGGAGGTTGTCATGTCCGCACTTGACGAGGTGTCCATGGGAGACTCCATGCTTGTGCCTTGCGCGGTTTGTATGTGCTAATGGAAGGCCGTTCGATTGTGTAATAGGATTCAACTGATGATGATTGGGAAATTGAAAATGTCCGTGATGATGTCGGAGGCGGGTGTTCAACGTTTCAACACAGATCTTGCACGTACCTACGTGTACGTCCTGGTACTAAATGTACGGTACACAAGGTTTCTGGACCTGTCTCTACTGTAGTATAGCTGCATACACTCCCAAATTGGAAGAATTATTGGCCACACTTTTTGCAATAGAGGCAACAGTATACTATACAGCTCACATCCATAGACTACGTATGCTACACTACTACAGCGAAGTCCTACTAACATCACAATGAAATGAATGAATCATTTTCAAAGTCGCATGGAGACAATCAGTGATATTTTATCACAGCAAGTTGTTTTCCGACAGCTTTCCTTTACTGATTGGGGGCTGATGACAACTACAGCATGAACCTACACCCTCTTCAGCAACTGTATCCTCTACGGTACTGCTCTTGCATGCCACGCATGGTGGATGGCTTCTATACGACTAAGTCGACTACTACATAATGGAAGTTCCAGGAATGACGGTTGATGAGTCAGACACGAATTGAAAAAAAGCAATCCCATCCAACTAAATTCTTGCAGCCAACACCACAGTTAGAACATACTAAATCTTAATCTGCACAACCATGATACGAAGTGGTGGTCTCTTGCGCCGAGTGGCTCGTCGATCCGCCTATGGGTTGGCAGGAAGTGCCGCGATAGGTGGAACTGGAGTTGCCGTCTACACGCAAACCGAATCGGGTCAGGGATTCAAACGACAAATGGACTTTTGGACGAGCTTGGGACCCATCGTCTTTGATTACTGGTGGAATCTAGCAGCATCAAGTCCCAAAGTGAAACTATTTACCCCAGAGCTGCTTGAGGAAGAGAATAAAGCCAAAAAGAAAGAAATTCAACAGGGCATCCATCAACGGAATGCACCTAAAATTTTCCAAGTCATGTTGGATTTGGGTGGTTTGTACATCAAGCTGGGTCAAGTCTTGTCGGTTACAGCCTTGCCCATTCCAGACCAATACAGAGAATACTTTAGAACTTTACAAAGCAATGTCCCAGGACACGAGGATTTTGAGAAGATTGTCAAGCCTACCTTGGAAAAAGAATTGGGAAAAGCACTGGACGAAATCTTTGACTCTGTCGAAGAGATTCCTTGCGGCGCGGCTTCGATTGGACAGGCTCACAAGGCTATTTTGAAAGAGACAGGAGAACGAGTCATCATCAAGGTACAATATCCCGATGCCAAGTGGCAAGTTCCGGCGGACATTGTTTGTGTCGGCGACTTTTTGCATGTTTGTGTCTGGTTTGGCTTGGTCGACGAAGATTCCTCTCGACTCTCCTACGATGAGTTTTCCCGACAATTCTTGGCGGAACTAGACTATGGAATGGAAAAGGATAATCTGCAAAAGGTGTATGAAAGTACCCTGGATCCATCGTCACCCTACCAAGCAAAGGGAGTCGTCCTGCCCCGAGTGTATGACGATTTGTGCACCAAACAAGTTATTACCATGACCTATCTGCCAGGTCCCAAGTTTGAAGAAGAAGCCAAGAAGCAACTTGCATTCCTCGGTATTGATACGAAAAAGGGAATACGGTCCATTGTTAAGGATGCTCACAAAGAGACGACGGGTGTTGTTGATGCTGAAACAGCAGTCGACATGATGCCAGATGTCGAAGAAATGACCAACACTAGCGACCAAGCAGAGAATGCTACAGTTACAGATGGAAAAGATCGGGTACAAAAGAGAGAATCTCGAATGACGCAGTCGCCCCCTGTTTGGAGAACGGCCCTTACCAAGGTAGTGAGCAATCTAGTGACTGTGGATTCCATCTTTTCAATGTTGCGCATGGTCCGAAAGGTCGTCCTGTGGTCCAAGATAATGGCGGTCAAGAGCATTCAACTCGCATCTCCAGTCATGTCCAAAGATTGGAAGGAATGGGCTGCTTCGCAAGAGACTCTACTCTTGCAAGCAGAACAAATGGACTGGACCCAAAAGGCAGTATATGCTTTGTTGGATGTTCATGGATATCAGATTTTGAATCAAGGACTCTTCAATGCCGACCCACACCCGTACGTATCGTATCCATTCGTAATTTTGGGGATTTTCGAATACTGACGGTAGCTCACTCACTCATCTACTCATTCACTCACTCACTCATCACTTACTTACTCACTCATTCAATATGCCTTTGCCTACTACAGTGGTAATATAATACTGATGAATACAGAGGAAAATATCCACGACCCCAAGATTGGTTTGATTGACTATGGCCAATGCAAACGGCTAACTCAAGAAGAACGGGTCAAGGTGGCCCGACTTTTGTTAAGCATTGCCAACCAAGAATCCGACCAGTCCATTGCCGACCACTTTCGGAACCTAGGAATTCAAACTCTAAACGACAACACGGCGTTCTTGGCAGAATTCGGACGTCTCATGTTTGGTTCCTTCCAACCTAAGCATTTGGATCATTCTTGGCACAGAAATTTCCACAAGCAAGATCGAGTGAAATATTTTCCCAAAGAATTGAGCATGGTGTACCGAACTTGCCTATTACTGCGAGGTTTGGCCATGTCCTTGCAATTCAATCCTAGTGTCGGGGCCGAATGGAAACACTACGCCCAAGCTGCAGTGGATGAATACGAAGCACAGCAGCTGCAAATACAAACACAGGGTTAACGATGCGAATGGGTATCATAGTATTATTAAATACTAGTAACCACAACAATTTTGAACCATCCATAATACTACTACTACTACCTGGTAGTACCCATTACCCATGCCATGTCCCATACCGATGAGGGCGAAATTTTCCAAGTTGGAACATTTTTAGGGAGGGGAGCCCCGTTGGAAATATGTCGTTGGAGTGTCCGAATAAGATGTTCAAAAAATTCTATATATATATCATGAAGAAATGCATATGCCGCCTACACCGCAGTTTGCCTCTCCAGCGCAATGTTTTGGGGAACCCAATGGAGAGTGACAATTGCATCAAAACAAACGGAAACCAAGCAACAAAGAGTTGCTCCATCAAGCTGTTCTAGCTGCAATATAGTTCAGCAAGGCGACACAGGTTTATCGAAGAGGGCCTCTTGCCATCAGTGTGATCCATTTTCTGTGATCATTTGCCTCATCCAATAGCAAAGGGCTTGCCTTCTGAAAGCAGCCTTTCGAAAAGCAACAACTTTTCATTTCCTAAGCAATGTGGAGTTCGTTACGCAAGAAAAAGCCTAAGAAATCCTCTTTGCTGCTACGAGAAAGTTCGTCGGATCCTGCTGCAGCAACTCCTCCTCCACCTTCCATCAAAAGACACGCGGCAACAGAGCCTAGGGATATCAGCAACACTCAAACAAAGTCAGGTGGCGGTAGTGATTCCAGTAACGCATCTATCAAGAAGTTTCTCTTCTGTGCCAAGGATACGGGAAAGCATTTAGAAGAACAGAGGGGAGCGCGACGAAACGGCAGTGAAAACAGTACCATTCAGAGCAGTCCTCCTTCAACAGCATCACCAGCATCTGGACCTGATAGTCCTACACAAGAAGTAACAAGGCACTTGGAAGTCGTATTTGATAAACCGAACTCGGCGTCTTCACGTGTTGTGGAAACTGTCCGGCGGAAGCAACCAAAAGTCAACACCGGGGTCGATATTTACGATCAGCTCTCATCACCACCCAAGAAGTCGCCTCGTTTGGGCACCCCTATGAAACACTATTCGGACGCTTCAAACGATTTGATGAGAACACCCAGCCGAAAGGAGCAACAAAAAAGTCAAGAGCCACAAAGTCAAGAACCGCAAAAACTAGCGCCGTCACCAGACTCATCATCTTTCAACAGTTTTGATTTTGCCATGCCCGAGAGTGCGAATGACAACTATCTGTCTCCCTCTGTAGCAGCCAGAGCTGCTAATCGGAGGGCCAATGCTATGAAGACACCAGGTCAGGGCATCCCTACACCACACAGGAATCAAAATGGAAGGGCCTTCCCACATCCTCTCTCGAACTTGCAATCACCAATGCCAGAAGAGCAAGTATCCTTCGAGCACCATATATCCATGAATGGAGGTAGTATAGCTTCCTCAATTCAACAGAATTCCACTCATGATCTGAACAACGAAGATGATGATGCCTTGAAGCCACCAGAAAGTACGGTGTCCCCTCAAAGCAAGACATATACTCTCCAAGAAGTCCAAAACATGATTCTTGAAGCAGAACAGAAAATCCATGCAGAATGGACAGATCGACATGAACAAGAACTTGCCAGCTTTGAGGCGGATGTCGAGAAGTCTTTAGTGGAACAGGGCAAGCAATGGAAGAAGGACGCCGAAGAAGAGTACTCTCGTCTTCATCGCGTGATTCAAAGAGAGAAACAAATGTCGGCACAATCTCAAGAGCGACTAAACCAACAGTCCAAGCAAATTTTTGCTTTGGAGACTCAACTTGACGAAGCGAGACAACAACAGCAAGTACAATCCAGCACCTCTGCTGAAGTGCAGCAGTTGAGGCACGAAAAAGAGACCGCAGAGAGCAAGATCGAACAGCTAGAGCAAACACTTTCTAATATGCAGAAACTTCGAATTACTCAACGAAATGAGAATGTGGCCTCGACACCATCGGAAGACCAAAAGACCCTCAATGATGAAATCGTACGGTTGCAAAGCGAGAAAGATCTTGCGGAACGAAAGTTGCAACAAATGAACTCCCAGCTAGCTGACAGCCGAAAGGGTCGGGCTGCTACACAGGTGCAGCTACGAAATGCCAAGGCGGAAATCGAGGCTCTCCAGAAACAAATGATGGATGGTTCTGTTGGTATGCCTTCTACCATTTTCTCCGAGGCATCCACACCCCTCAACAGCAATTTGAATGACGACCTGAAAGAGTCGATTCGACGACTCGAACAAGAAAACTCACAGTTGTTGCAACAGCAGGAAGTCCTCCAACAACAAATTGCCGCGGCGACTGAAGCGGCATCTCAAGCAACTGATGCCAACAACGTTACAAAACTAAAGAAGGAACTCTCACAAGTCACCAAGCAACGAGATGCTTATGAAAAGTACGTCAAGGTTCTCCGTGAAAAACAAGCCGAAGAGCTAGAAAAGGCCATTCAAGCTGAAAAGCTCAAGCTACAAGAACAATACGAAAAGGAAAATGGAGACGGAGCCACTAGTGCAACCTTTGGTACGAATCTTAGTGGGGAAACAGGTTTCACCGCGGCTTTTGCCAAGGAAGAAATTCGGTTGAGGGAAGAATTCGACTTACATAAGGAAGCCATGGGCAAGGTGCACAAGGATGAAGTGGATACCATGAAACAATGCTTGACTCATTTGGATGAGCTTCATACAAAGCAAGTTGAGTTGGCCATGTTGGAATCACTTGAAAACGACGACAATGCCGATGAGATTGTCTACTTGAAACAGCAGGTGGACTTCATGCTTGAATCCAATCTATTGCCGGAAGGAGAACCTGACTTCCCGGCACCAACCAACTTTCAAAACAAGCTTGACGTCTGGAAGGTGAAGCACCAACAAGCACTGCAAGCCACCAGTAAACAACTCGTGGACACGCAAGTGCTTCCATTGAAAGAGCAACTTGAGTCTGTTCAAAAAGACCTCGATCAGTTGGAAATGAATCTGTCCGAAGCTATAACAGAGCGAGACCAAGTTGTCGATGTCCAAGTGCTTCCATTACGCAATCAACTAGAATCGGTTCAAAACGAACGAGATCAACTTGAAGCTGATTTGTTGGCTTCCAAAACAGATAGAGATCAAGTAGTGGAAACGCAAGTGCTTCCATTGCAAGAGAAGCTGAAGTCTGTACAAAATGACCGTGACCAGATGGAACTGGATCTGACAATTGTCAAAACCGAGCGGGATCAATTGGAAATCGATCTGTCATCGTCGAAAAAAGAAACCGAGCTAGCAAAGCAGGACTCACAATCAATGGAAACTGCTAACAAGAAAGCGCTGGAAGCTCAGCTAGGTCCATTGCAACAAGATTTGGAGGCGACCAAGGAGGAACGAGATCGGCTGCAACGAGACTTGTTGCAAACCCAAGCAAAAGTGGAAGAATTGGCCCAAGCAGTGGAGAAGCTACAAGACGAAAAAACGGAAATGGAGTCAATGAAAGCAGAGCTGAACAACAAGTTAGCTGAAATTGCCAAGTTGCAAGAAGAGAAGGCTGGCGTTGAAACGAGAGTACAGGAACTTGAGGTCATGATGAAGGACTTGGAAGTAAGCCATTCCAAAGATGTCGAGGAAGTCGCTAAAGGGTCAGAAGCCAAGCTCGAAGAGCTGCAAAATCAACACAAAAACGCCTTGGAAGCAGCAACTTCGATGAACAAAGAATTGGAATTGACCTTGCAAGAGACTCAAACGAAGATAGCCGACATGGAAGCGAAACACTCCCGTGACCTTGAATCGGCCAAGCTTTTGCAGGAAAGCAGCAGTGGAGCCGAGGAGGGCTTGGAAGAAAAATTGGCTTTGATGGAGTCCAAGGCAGAGGCAGATCGCGCTGATTTCAATCGCATGGTCAAGGAAGTCCGAGACGCGCACACCAAGGAAATTGAAGAGTTGATAAATCAATTGGATCTTGTGGTCGAAGAGCACGAAGAAAAATTTAAGGAGAAAGACAAGGTCATCAAGGACAAGGATGCCGTGATCTCTGCTTTGGGGTCACAGCTTGCTGATGTTCAAAATCGCCTCAATGAAATGAGCGAAAGCACTTCGGGGCTCGAAAATAAACTCGAAAACATGAAGAAAGAGATTGCGACTTCTCGTGCCGAAGCCGAGACCAGCAAGCAGGATATCATCCTGCTGATGGAAGATCATGACAAGGAAATGGAACGACAAGCTGTCCTCCGAGAGGAGGCCTGTGACGAGGCCAGAGAGGAGATGATTCAACGTGCCGAAGTTCGATACGACGAAGCAAACCAACTATTCCGAAATCTGAAGAAGAGATTTGATGAAGCTAATGGTAGAATCGCTGATTTGGAGGGAGAGTTGAAGAGCGCAAAGAAGCAATCAGACGATTTCAAGAGAAAACAGGATGCCCAAGAGCGACAACTTCGAGAAGACCTTGCACAAGCGAAGGCGAAGATTGCAACGAGTGATGCGAACACAGCAAGACTGGAGCGCCAGTACAAGGGAGACTTGGAACACGCACTGCAATCGAAGGACGAGATGCGCATGCAACTCGAAGAGACTAGAGCAACTAGCCAGCAGATTCAATCTACTCTCGCAGCTGTTGTGGCGGAGAAGGAGAAGCTTACAACCGAATTCGTCGAAATGAAGGCTGTCTGCGAAGAGCTTATGGCGATAGTCGAAGGTAGTGCAGCATCTGCATAAAAGGAGGAGGTGAACATACCGCACCTTTCGTCTACATATTCCAGATCGGGAGTAATATTTTGTGCGTCCTCCACAAGACTTTACCACCGAACTGGGCTAGCGCCGAGCACGACACTCCATTGGTAGGAACTGGTGGGCTCATATAGCCCACACAAGTTTCCAGACTTCCAGCTTTGAGAATGATCATGACCACTGAAGCAGCTATAACATGATTAAGTGCCCAAGATAAGGCATTATGAATTATCTTACGTATGCTTGTACCTATTAAAATAATTATGTGTACCGCATTCACATCGTTTCATCTTGCAAAGATGCTTCATCCTCGTCTTCGTGAAGAAAGGGAAGGATATTTGGCACTGCGATTCCGATGCCGCAGTGAACGCGATACTTTTGTCGAATAGAGGGATCGGATCGATTGTCCCCGACCCAATAACCGTCACCTTCCATTCTCGCTTTCCAGAAGACAAGCTCCAGCAGGGCCGTGGATTCTTTGGTTTCAAATGTCGTCAGTTTCCGGAGGACTTCGGTGATGCGATCATCCCGTGCCGACCAGCGATCTTCGAGTGCAACCTGGTCCATCCCAAGCGCTACATCGTGTCGCCATGATTCTAGTCCAAGCGACTCTTGCCGTTCTTTGGTGTGATATTGTAGGAGTAACCGCGCAGTCTGCCCAGAAAACTGATTGTTGGAATCCTTCAGAATCCCCTCAACTCCCAAATCCATGGGTTCCTCCATTGTTTTGTAGGACTCCTCCAAAAGAAGCTGGATAACTTCCAAGGGTGCGTCAATCTTGCAAGCAAAATGCAGGGGTAGGTCACCCCACTTGTCCTTGGTGATTACGTCATCGGGACAGTGCTTCAGTAGCACTTTATAAAGTGGAAGGATTTGTCTAGACGAAAGTGCCAGAATATGCAAGGGAGTCATGCCCAAACAATCCTGCTGTGATTGCTGTTGGTTTTCAGACGGCGACGCAATGATTTCCTCTAGCTTGGAAACGATTCGTTCCGTATTGGATGCACTGCCATAGTAGGTGTGATAGTAACAAAGTCCATGGACTGGCAACCCATCGAATCGATGTTGCAGCGCTTGCAACCGATCATTTTCGTTGGGTAGATGCGTGCTCAAATACGTACATCGCGCCAGACTACGATATCCAGCACTACTGTCCTCCCTCAAGGCAATATTCCGCAGGGAATAGCAATGCATAAAGGTTTGGCTCGGAAGGAAACTTCGTCCTGGCATCTCAACAGAGATCATGCGAAAGCAACGATAAAAAGTGCCCTCACCCATTTCCTTTACTGATGCTGGAATTCGAGCCAGTCGTAAGGGAGTGCACGCAAATACAAGATTTCCCAAGGTATGCAAGCCTTCCCTGAGATCAATCTGAAACAGTCCAGATTTGTAAAAGGCACGATCGCCTATGCTATAAACATTTGAGGGGATCTTGATAGATTGAAGACCGGAACAACCCAAGAAGGCATTTTCGAAGATCAATTTCAATTCCTGAGGAAGATGGATGGTTTTGAGCAATGCATGATTCTGAAAGGCACTGACAGAAAGAAAGGTCGTTTCAGGATTCACGTCCACATGCGAAGATTGCTGTTGTTCTCGCTGGTCATTATCCGAAATCTCTTCATCCACTTGGACAGTCTCGTTTCTGATTGTAGCTGATGGGTTGGCTTCTTCAGCAGTACTTTCGTCGTCATTGGCATTCTCCTCTGAAACCATGGTAGCTTTAGTATCAGAATAAGAAAGAAGAGGTATATGCAGCATACGATAGTTGCATTACATGCGCGCGGGTTCGTAGTTTTTCGTTCGACAAGTTGGACTCATTCAACCCGCGACCACAAGTGAACTATGACCATGTATGTCACGTCAGTTTATATACCAGTATCTCGCTGTCACTTCTGTACGCTTTTATCGATTGTTATTCTATTCTTGCAACAACACCTCTGGTACCAGTACATTCAACATTACGACTTCGCAGATGGCACGATGGAACTCGATGATTCAATCTCAACATCCTTCAGGACACCATTTACAGAGTCGTTGCGCACGTATCAACCCTTAGACGAGTCCAACGAACTTACGATAGTCGAGAGAACAAGTCGGATCAAGAAGATAGCTGATTCAAGACTCTCCGAGCTTACCATCAACAAGTTGAAGATACAGTCCATCGGTCTCATAGGGAGAGAAACAGAAACTGAAAGACTGCGATCATGCCTTCGGTCAATGATGGACAACCAGGCTGCTGAAGATGACGACGAGACAGAAATGAATGAGGATACCATTATGATTTCCAAAGTGAAGAAGGAGCTCGTCTTTATCAAAGGATTCAGCGGTGTGGGGAAGACGTCGCTAGCAAGAACTGTGCAACAAGAAGTGAATTCAATGAAAGGTGGATATTATGCTGAGGGAAAATTTGACTTGAATGAGAGCAAGGAAACGCCTTATGCAGGTATAGCAAAAGCTTATAGTCAGCTTGTTGCAGAGTTATCGGTGACAAATCCTGACGTGCTCCTTGGCATTGGGCAACAACTTTGTGATACGATTGGTCCTGAAGTGGAACCTCTTACCTATCTGATCCCAGAGCTTGAAAGTTTCGTTACAGGCTATTCGAACTACTCAAATGAAAATGTCGATGGAATGCAAGAGAGATGGAGATACAGTTTTCGTGTACTTACACGGTTGTTGACATCATATTTTCGGCCTCTCGTGATTGTTATTGATGACTTGCAATGGGCAGACAAGGCATCTTTAGACCTTATGGAGACTTTGATCGCAGATTCTCAAAACGTGAACCCACTGATGATGGTTGGATGCTACCGCTCGAATGAAGTAGGAGAAAAGAGTGATCTGGCGAAGTCGCAATACAGTCTCTAGAGGAGAAAAAGGCGAAGTTTGGCTTTGACATTATCGATATTGAGGTAGAAAGCTGCGGCGCTAGCGAGGTGAATCAAATGGTCATGAAGATGATGGATACGGACGAGGAGGAGAGCACACGCGATTTGGCTGATCTATGCTTCCAAAGGACTTTGGGCAATCCTTTCTTTGTGATCGAGTTCATGAGTATGCTCAAAAGAGAGGATTTGATCCAATTTAATATCGGGACAATGAAGTGGGTATACAAAGTTTCAGCGATTGAAGAAGCAACTGTGTCGACTGCGAACGTCGTTGCAATGCTGAAATCGAGGATGCAAAAGATGCCTGAAGATGTCCAGGTGCTTCTCCAGGTTGCCGCATGTCTTGGCCCAGCATTTCGATCGTCTATCTTGGAAATAATCTGGAAAAACCTCTCATATGTAGAAACGAAAGGCGTGGTGGTGTCTGATCTTACCAAACTGATATCATTCATTGAATCAGAGTTGTTGGTTGAGGCATGGGCGGGAGACAATAGGTACAGATGGGTGCACGATAAAGTACAAGAGGCAGCATTGTCATTGGTACAAGTTGACGAATTGGCTTTGAAATTCGACTTGGGGAAAGCTTTATACTATAATCTTCAGGGAAAGGAGCTTGAGGATAGCTTGTTTGACATCGCTGATCTTATAACAACTGGCAATCGCACAATATCGGTCGAGTTTGCTTCCCTTTGCCTGAAGGCTGCAACGAAAGCAAAGAGTTTGTCAGCATTCCATTCCGCAACAAGATACGCAAAAAGTGGAATCGAAATGCTTCCCGAAGACATATGGACGAGTAACCCGACATTGGCCATTGAACTCAATACCATTGGAGCACAAGTGGAACTGGCACTTGGTCGTGTGGAAGAATCAAAGAACTATTGTGACGCTGTTCTATGCAGGAAGGGTACTGAGGTTGATCGGCAAATCCCGTTGAAATTGGTGGAGATACAGAGACTTGCAACAGTAGAAATGAAGTATTCTGATGCGGTACAAAGTGGTCTAGGTCTATTGAGAGATTCGAAGAATAGACTATTCCGTAGTCGAATCTTGCTTCCTTTACAGGCTATAGCTGCACTTTCGAAGACGATCAAGATCATCAAACGCCAACCAAAGGACTTCTATCTACATGTTGGTCGAATGGACAACAAGAACAAGGCAATGGCAAACATTTTGGAGCGTATAATTTATGCATCCTTTCATACAAATGAAACATTTCAATTTATCCTTTGTGATTGCAAAATCGCTCAGCTTTCAATACAGCATGGGCTCTGCGAGCACTCTGCACACAGTTTCGCCATGGTTGGTGTATTCGCAGCCCTTGTTTTTCAGCAATTTGAAGATGCTACCATGTTTCGAGAACTGGCACTCGCAACGCAGGGCCATTACGGTAACCCCCGTGCTTTTCAAACAATTTTCGTTTCGTACCAATATTCATTGGTATGGACAATTCCATTGACTACGTGTGGAAGCGTCTTCTACGATGGATATATGAAGGGTATGAGAAATGGAGAAGTCGATTTTGCAATGTGGAGTTTGCTTTCACATTTTGTACAGCTGCCATGGGTTTTGGGCAAACCGATTGATCAAATTTTGGAAGAATGTCCCAAGATTGTAGCTCAAATGGAGGAAATGTCGCAAACCAGTCAGGTCAGTATCGATTGAAATCGTGGCTGTAGTGATATAATCACAACGCCAATGACTCTCATTCATCGTTTATGCATTACAGGCTTTGATTACAAAGGGTTACTGGCAAATGTTCTTGAATCTTCGGGATCCGCAACAAGCCCAAGATCCATTGAAGATCAAGGGCGAAGTGCTTGATGTAGAAAATCTAAAGCAGGTGGATACATTTATTTCGGTAGTTCACGAGAGAACAGAAGCCGTACTTCTTATTTTCTACGATTCTGCATCTGCTGCGGACAGGTCGATCGATAATGCAGGTATGATGGAAAAACACGCGGCTGGTACCTATGAGTGCATGCTCGATGCGTTCCATCGAGCTTTATCTCTGTATGTCGCTGCTCGCAGAATGAAACAACGGAAATACAAACAACATGCCAAGAAAACAAGGAAGCAAATTTACAAATGGAAAAGGAAAGGAATTCCGAATGTCGTTTACTTCTGTATGTTTCTTGATGCCGAGCATGCGGCACTGGCAGGCAAACACGCCAAGGCAAAAAAGCATTACCTGGAAGCCATTCAGTTTGTGGCTAAATCCGGCTTTCTGCAACATGCAGCGTTGTTCAACGAGCTGTACAGTGATTACTTGTTGCGAGAAAGGAATGATAGAGACGAGGCCAAGTACCGGTTGGAGGAAGCCATTCGATATTATGAGGATTGGGGAGCGCTGGGGAAGGTTAAGAAGCTGAAAGAGTCACCTCTTTTGACGTAGATAGATATAGCTGCCTCAATTTTGTACTACCACCATATTTGTTCGGTTTGTAGAAAGTCGTCAAGTGCCTGTCCCTTGTAGAAGTTCATCTTTTTCTTCTTCAGTCGTATGATCGACAATTTCAAGTCCATGAAGATTTCCGATTGACCAAGTTGAGTAGTATACAGTATTGAAGTGTACCTCCTCAAACTCTGTATCAGCATGGTGTTCGTCATGACTGTCTTCTTCTGCTGCCATTTCCGCCAACTCTCTCGCAATGTCTCCCTGTCGAATCTTCCATATCCGAACCACCTGATACGAAAAGGCGCCAATGTTGATGATGGTGTTAAGGAATTCATCTGCCACATCTTTGTCTGCAGTATTCCACTTGCGGAAAGCTCGTCGTGAGTAGTCCAAAAAGTAGACGGACAGAATGAATTCAAACAGAATGGCACAAAGGTCTATCGTCTTGTTTGAACTTTGATGATTGCTTTTGGAAGTACTCTCTTCATGATTGGTGGCGGCTATTTCAGGATCCTCATCATTCGCATTATCCTTATTACAGGAATTTAGCAATCTTCGCTCTTCTGGTCTGCAGTATTGAACTTCGTGTCCTTGTCCATTCCACCGAGCCACAATCTGATGAACATAGAAATGATCCAACAAGTGCAATCCAGCTCCTAGATTCCAGACCAGCATTACTCCGAAACTGTAGACCAAATATGCTTCAGTTCCTTCAATCCGATCTCGAGTGCGACTAGGATCATCCGTCATGCACAATTCGGCAAGCAGCAAGAGAGACCATAACAACACAGAAGTGTTGGTATACAACCAAATGCCATAATTTTGACGTGGACAGTATGCGGTGATCCATTCCAATAGCTTCACAAGTGCACTATCTTTCGACAGGCTGAAATGATCATGCCAGCAACTCATTGTTGATGGTTCGGCAAGCAGACTTTATAGTGTATGGTTGGTGTTTTCTCCTTCATTCAGAATTCGAATGCAATGAGGATGTTATTTTGATTCATTCAAATGTGAAAGGCTGGTATTATGTATAATCAATTCCTCTTTTCTCCTTGCTTTGCTAAGGAGCTATAACTATCTTGATCCTTCTTATCAGAGTTGGATACTGGCAACAACAACGCAGGGAAAGAGAGAGTTGTATCGCTGAGAACCAATGCAGCACTCCATTATTAATGCCAATTTCGAATTTGGTGTTTGTGTGACGTGTTTCCGATCGGATGGGCGAATAATCGCGTACTCCATTCACCCTCCCAAACAATTACGTATTACGAATAGTGCTGTAGGTACGACTACAGTATTTACATAGCTGGTATTCTATCTTAGTGATATTAATAATAATGACGCATAACCCAATAGATAGTCATGCTGATAGGCCCAATGCCATGAAAACGTGGGCTTGTGATCCAACACGAGGTTCAGGCCGGTCGGAAGAGGCCATTTCTTCTTCGTACAGTACTACCAGGTACTGTAGAACGAAGAAGAGGATGGAATTGACAATGCAGTAGGTCCAAGTGGTCTCCTGATGGCTCACATTGTTTTACACCATATGTTCGGCTGCATATAGCAGTATAGTAATAATTGCTCTTCGATAGGGCTTTTCCTTGTGTGTTCCCCTTGCAGCATATGCGAATCTCGAGCGGTGAAGTGAAGTTTGCAGGCTCTGCGGCTCCCAGTTAGTTGGATGGTGAGCTAGTGTTGATCCCTTGTCATGGTGACCCTTCAAATACTGTCGTATCGTCAGCATCATCATCATCGTCATCTGTATGTCCTTTTGCCTTTTGAATTTCTGCCAACTCTCTTGCAATGTCTGCTGCTCGAATCTTCCACAACCGGACTACTTGATAAGAAAAGGCCCCAATATTGATCATAATGTCAATGAACTCGTCCGCCACATCATAGTCCGGCGTATTGTTCCAGCTGCTAAGAGCTCGTCTGGAGTAGTCCAAAAAGTTTACGGACAGAACGAACTCAAACAGGACGGCGCAAAAGTCAATCCATTTTGTCCTCTGAACAGTCGTTCTTTGAGCAGTAGTACTTTCTTCCCCATTGGTGGTGGCGTCCTTTTTGGGTTCATTATGGTCGGTATTGTATCCAATACAGGAGTCGTCGAGCAGTCTTTGCTCTTCTGGTGCAGAGTGTTTCGTTTCTTGTCGTTCTTTTTCTTTTTCTTGTTGTTGTTGTTGTTGACTACTCCACCGAGCCACAATTTGGTGCACATACAAATGATCCAACAAATGCAGACCGGCTCCGAGAACCCATACCAACATTGCTCCAAAACTGTACACTAGATAGGCCTCAGTTCCTTCGATGCGATCTCTCGTATGACTAGGATCATCCGTCATGCACACTTCCGAAAACAACAAGAGGGACCACAACAGAATGGCACCATTCATATACAACCAAATGCCATAGTTTTGACGTGGCGAGAACCCAGTAATCCATTCTAGCAGCTTGATGAATGCATTATCTTTCGACCAGCAGCTGCTGCTGCTTGAACAACAATAATAATCA